GGATCTGCGCCGCCCACTGCTTGATGTTCTGCAGGTGCTGTATGCCAGCCAGCCCGAGGAAAGCATCGGCGTCGATGCCGAACACGTCGAGGGCCCAGCGGAACAGCTTCGGGTTGGTGTTGCCCATGGCCATCCGGACGTCAGCCGCCGTGATGCCCCTCCGCTGCTGGTGGGCCCGCACGACGATGTCGACCATACGACGCGCATCGTCCAGCCCACACTGAGTCGACGGATCATACCTGGGTGACACCACGGTTGGGTGGATGACCACACCCGCCCATCGGTGTTTGCGCCTACTTGGTGAATCGTCCGTAGAGTGTGCTGTTTTCGCCGTCCGGCAGCGACTTGGCCGCCGCCTGCGTCATAGTCACCGTAACGCCGCGGGTCTGCTGGACAATCGACAACAACTGAAACAACACGCCACCACACGACGGCGGAAGGATGCAGCGATGCACCATGGCATTTAACCTCTCTCGTGTCTGTACCCACCTGATCATCCTCTACGTCGCCCGTCTTGAGCATGGGCTCGATGGCGTCCAAGCGGGCCATCTCGGCCGCCTTCTCGTGATCTATTCCCTCCAACTCCCCCAGCAGATTCTTCCCCATACCCACCACACCGCCACCGGCACCGCTATCGTCACCGATGTCGTCCATAATGCCACCGTCCCCCGCGCCGCCGGCCCGGGGCCGCTTGGTCGACGGGTTGTTCACCAGCCGGCCAAACCAGTAGCTGACGCACACAAATCGCCGCACACTTCGACAAACAGTGCCCATCTTGGCTCGGCACTGCGTCTGCCTGCCTCACCTGTACGCCAGGTCACTTTGGTTGGACTCGTGTAGGGTGATGGCATCGATCTCTCCACGCTCGTAGCCCTGCAACTGCTCTACCATCCTAAACCACACCAAACCACGTCCACACACAGCGGCAGAACACATGAGTCAGTGACGCATCCCGTCGCTCTCCTCCTCTTTGCTTACATGCTGAACACAGGAGGGTACACGGGAAGGAATATGCGACCCTCCGAGTCGCGCAGCACGGCCCTGTCGAAGCGGCCGTCGAACAGGGTGGCCATCACGGTGCCCTTGGCCGCACAGAGGGCCGACCGCTTCACACCGCGAAGAAGCTCCCCGCTCACGTTGATGTCGATCTTGTCGTCCATCCTCTCTGCCGGCAGCTGCGTGACGTCTGCAGTGCCGCCCATCGCTGTGACCCTCTCGCTGATCTCTCTGTCGATTTTGTCAGCCTCCTCGATGATGAGGGCCGCCTGCTGTCGGACTGCGGCGAGCTGAGAGGGGAGGCCGCCGCCATCGCCACCATCTGGCGACGGCGAGGGCTCTTTGCGCTTGTATCCGCCGCTCATGTGCTCATCCACCGGAGAGCCGCCAGCGGCTGGGAAGACCGATGGGATAGGTTGTCCATGCGGTTGATATGGTCGGTGTGACGGTGTGTAGTCTCCGCCCATCTGTTGTCGGTTGCTTTGTTTCGGTTGTTGCCTTCGTGTTGGACTTGTAGATCAGGTGTTTTCATTCCACGCCGCCTGAGCCTGAAATAACGTCTCAGAGATCTGTTTCAAGCTCGCAATGACGGCTAAGCTCGCAGGCGAAGCAAGTTCTGGGAAGGGAAGGATGAGAAGGGGGGAGGACAGGCACGACAATGCATTCGTGGCTGTGTTCCTTCTTCTTTACTCTGTCATGCAGGTCGTCTTGAGCGTGTGATAGACGCCTCCCCCGAGGCCAGATACGTTCATACGGTGCATGACTCGCTTCCTACCCCTTGACGGGCCCACACATCAGGCGCAGCGATGGACGCATCGATGGGCTCATACAGGTCCGTAGTGAGTGCGCATAATGAGTTGGGGCTGTCATTCAGTCATTGGGATGGTCCTTCCATATGGATGTCACATCTTCAGGTTCATGGGGACGGCAAAAGGCCTCGCCAGGATGAGACAAACGCATTCCATTCAACGTCATCCGTCATGGTATGCTCAGGACAGCCGTGCACGTCATGTGATGACTTCTGTGATCGCCTGTGTATCGGGCAGTCAGTGCGTGAAGACTGATGGTTCTGTCCCGTGTCGGCCGATGTCAACAAGTCAACACACAGGAGGCACAATGGACGAGTAACCAAGCATGACATACACAAGCCGAACATACAGACATCTACCTCTCTCTACCTCTCTCTCTTTGTCTGTGTCAGGAGAGGTGCGGCCCATGCGAGTGGTGTTCACAAGACAGTCGTCATCGCCCCAATGTGGCTTCTGGTCGGTGTGACCCTATCGACTGCGCCAACGTGGGCACAAACGCATGGATACATGTGACACTTGCCAGCCAGTATTCGCTTCATTCCATTTTCCATCTTTTCAGTGCAGGGCACATGGGTACATATATACATGAGAGGGAAACCCACCGATGTCGCTGCTTTCCCGTAAGCAACATGACACGCACGTGACCCGTTCGCCGAATAGCCAGAGGCCGCTTTGTCTCTTGTCTGAGTGTCAGGAGTCCTTGTGTAGAGGGAGTGATCTGTTATCGAATATGGGGAGCGCCTGTCGGTCCGTGTGGCTTCTTCCTGGCGCCTTGTGATTGATCGATGTTACCCAATCGATTGAGCCACTGTAGCCTCACGACAATGGGTACAGACACAAGTGGGGCTCGGCAGCCAGTCTTCACTGACTTACATCTCACCTTTCGTGCAGGGCATATGGGTAGTCACATGAGGGAGAGAAGGGCGTGGATGTCACTGCTCTCACTGCTCTTCTGTCGTGGCTTTGGTGGCTAATCTATCTGCCTGGCGCCGGCCATGCCATCGCTGTGTGCCAGGTGTTGAGTAGGCAGGATCGGTGCATGTGTGTCTGGGCTGTTGATGTCAGTGAGGCGATCCCATTTTCGAGGTCATTCCATGAAGCTTGAAGGCATCCACTCAGTGCCGATGAAGGTGAATGTCATCTCAACATACACACACTCACGCAAACCATGACGTTTCTCTCATCGTCGCTCTGCAAAGGTCAACAAGAAATCGAGCTGTTCCGGTCCACAATGGCTGGCTGGTCGAGTGCTTTGAGTCTAGCTGAGGATCCACTAGAGGGCAATTGAAGAACCTCTGCACCCAGACAGGCGCATCTCGACGTCAAAAGTGAAAAAAATTCCATCAAAGTGAGCGGATTTCACGCGATCTGACCTCATCTGCGGCAGCAGCATTCCTCTCTCCCTCTCTCTGCCTCTAATGGCCTCCTATCGTCCGCAGAAAACGAAATTAAATGCGGCGAGAATTTTGCTTGCGAGCCGAGACGGAGACAGAAGATTTACGAGACGGCGGGCCGTTTTTCACATTTTCCGTCCCAGTTCGGCTTTGCAGCCTTGTTTCGGCCACATCTCCTCCGTTTCTTGTCCTTTTCGGCTGGTTGCTGGCTTGTGTTGTCCGCCTCATCCCCCTCTACCCGTGTCAGCTCGTCCGGATGTCATCCGCCACTTTTTTCCTCCACCGCCGTGCCCCGGGCGAGGCCTTGTTTGGTGGCGCCCTGCCTTCTGCTGAGCGGCTGGCGACTCCCTGGCGCCTGCAGAGTGCGCACGCGCCTTCGTTTCGCCCAAACCGACCTCCACCAGGTGAGTACATATGAGTGTGGCCTCGTGTGTCATGTCTGTTGGGTGTGGTGATGGTGTGGTGTGTGGATGATGTGTAGCGATGAATGCATGGTACATTCCGTTGCCATGGGTGTGCTCAGATGCCTCCCCTTGTCATGTCTGTGTGTGCAGATGGGCTGGTTGTTTATTCTTTTCATTCCTGTCTCATTTTCTCGACGCATTTCTCTGTTATATTCGATCGGCCGATGACGACCCCTTCGAACCGCACTGCCTTGCCCGAAATGATCTGCAAAGGGTATGTGGGCTGTCGAAATATACTGTACCGATCAAATCCCGTGTACGTGTCTCGTGTCTGTGTGTGCAGATGGATCGCCGTCTCCCTCTTACATCTCTGAGGCGCCTACGAAATCATCCGTTTAGTCTGCCCCCGGCGGCCCCCGAAGGGAAGACCGCATAGACACCATGGGCGAACACGGTCATCTTCTGTGTACTGTCGCCCCAGGCAAACATACAAGTGTGTCGGCAAGAAGGGTTTCAAGAGAAGAGTGTTACTTGTCGGATCTGAATGCGGATGGGTGGTTTTGTGTTTATGTTGATTCGGTTGGCGCGTGTCAGGGCGGTTCCGTTTACGAACACCCAGCCGTCGACAAGGAGGCAGCCCCAGGGACGACACCGATCGTCCTGCTCTTCCGCCCTGGCCATTTTGAGCTCCTATACGCATCGTAAACAGAACTCACACACATACACACACACACATGCAGAGAGAGAGAGAGAGAGACCGCAGAGACACAGACAGATGTATGTGTATGCTAGTGTGTGTGTGTGTGTGTGTACAGGAGTAACTCTCGTCGTTACCCGAGGTACCGGTCCTCGACGCCACCTGCAGCCGCCGCCGGAAGGCAACTGAGCTGCGCGCCAAGGTGGGTGGGCCACACAACCAGCCAGCATGCTCGTGTGTGTTATGCGGTCATGTGTCTATCTCTCCCTCCCTCCCTCCCTCCCTGGCAGGACAGAGCGCGAGGGCACCCCGTCTGTCGAGTCTGAGGTCCGTCAGCGCATCCCCCACCCCTCCTTCACACACACACATCAACCACATGGATGGATCTCTTTCTTGTGTGTGTGTGTGTGTGTGTGTGTGCAGAAGTGCGTTGTCGATGCCGCTTCTTCAGCTTCTTCGGACAAGTCCACCACCGCATCTGCTGAGCCCAACACGGTTCATCAGCGCACCCACCCCTCCCCCACACGCACATCGGCAACCGTATGCCCACACACCGAGATGCACAAGCACGGTGTGAGAACATGACGAGATCGACATGTGAAAGTCATCTTTTTGTGCGTCTGTACTCGCAGATCGAAATGTTGTCTACGTTTTATATTCGTCGGCATATATCCGCTTCTTCGCAGTCATGTCTCCGTCAATGGGAAAGACATACATACAATACACTTCTCCGCTCTTCTCTCTGTGGATGGGTGATTTGCAGATCGCTGGCTGCATTTATATTCGATCGGCCGATGCCTTTTGCACATCAAAAGTGAGCTGTCGAAGTATACTATGCTCACCAAGTCGTGTGTACGTGTCTCGTGTCTGTGTGCAGATGGATCGCCGTCTCCATCTTACATCTCCGATGCCCCTGCTTACTGAATCATCCACGCCTGCCCCCGGCGGCCCCACAGGTACGTAAGTGAGGGAGACACAAAAGAGGTGATAATCACGATTTGCTCATGTCTCTCCTCTTTCGTCTATCTGTCTACGCATATTTGGCCTCTTTGGCGGCCCCCGCTACCCCACTGGCCAGCCCACGGCCTCCACTCGCAGCGTTGATGACGCTGCCAGATGGAGGCAGCGATAAGGTACGCCTGCCCGACAGGATGTGGGTACTCTCATCTGGCAGCGTCATCAACGCTGTGAGTGGAGGCCGTGGGCTGGCCAGTGGGGTAGCGGGTCAGATTGAGGAGGCGTCTCTCGGGGCCGCCAGAGACGCGTTACTCGAGTCGGTAGGGGGGAGAGGGAAGGCGGGCCAATGGCTCCCAACAGCCTCTACTGCCCTGTCTGTCAGGAGCTGTTGCGTGTGTGCCGGGAGAAGTCTGAGATCAACAAGGTAAGATCATCGACCTAAACACATGCCAATCTGAGATGCCGGGCGGTGTGTGCGCAGGAGCTGACATCCGTAAAGGATGACAACAAGAAGCTGCTGGACAAGCTTCAAGTGTTGTCAGGATTGCACCTTCAGCCAAGTACGCCTCACAGTTGGCTGCCACCAATGCTGCCACACTGACGAATAGCATCCGCACGGCATTCCATGGAGTGGCGCTCTCCTTTGCTTTTCAGTAGGTCCATCACACTCAAGTTCATTGCCGACACATCACAGCCGCCATCACCATGTACTGTACACCGAGGTTGGTGTGGTGCCGGATGCCTTCAGCGGCGTTAGAGGAGCACCCTGATGACGAGGTCAAGTACCTGTCAGGTGAGTGAGTGATCCTGCTTAGTGCACAATGGAGATGGATCGACGCTTTGGGCTACGCCGTTCGGATGTCTTTTGGTCGATGACCTGCCCACATACCTGTTTGTGTTGTGTGTGTGAGTGCAGGAGAAGTGCGGTCCAAACGAATCACCCACATAAACAGCTGCACAGGTATGTCTTGTACACCGGAGCAAACAGCCATATGATGGACCGATTTGTCCTTTCCATCGGTGTGTATGTGTGTGTGTGTTGCTTAGGCCTACATCCCATTTTGAGATGGTGGACAGCTTCCTCAAGCTCGTTGCGGCAGGCGGCATCTCACCATGAGGGATGTGCGCTTTCTGCATGACAAAAGAACCATGCATTCTTCTTTCCTGCAGGTGTTGTTGTGTGCAGGTATAATTTGCTGCGTACATTTTATATTTTGACCTCTATCGCCTTCCATTGCATGGTGTGTTTAAAAGGAAAAGAGTATTGAAATTGCCGCTTGATTCCCGAGATCGGAGGACAACGAGGAGGGAGGGAGGGAGACGGCATCACGGCATCCATTTTATATTCGAAAGAAAAGAGAGACCAGCACATCGCTGCCACTTGCTACAAGTATATCGATGAAGCTCTCGTCGTCCTGCTGCTGTGCATGGATCGCATTTCCCGACGGCCCCACAGGTACGTAAGTAAGGGAGAAAAAAGAGAATCATGAACGCTCATGTCTCCTCTGTTTGTTTCCGTATGCTTGGCCGCCTCGGCGGCCATGTAGATATATACCTGTGGCTGTCGCCACACACGGCATATCGGCGACCAAGAAGCGAGCTGCACTGATGATGATCGAGAAGCGGACAATGAGGAGGGAGGGAGACAGCATACTCACGGCATCCATTCATCCATCAGCTGCTCGGCTGAAGATACCTGTGGCTGTCGCCACACACACACGGCATATCGGCGACCAAGAAGCGAGCGGCACTGGTGATGATCAAGAAGCGGACAAGGAGGGAGGGAGGGAGACGGCATCACGGCATCCATCCATCCATCCATCCATCAGCTGCTGACTGAAGATACCTGTGGCTGTCGCCACACACACACGGCATATCGGCGACCAAGAAGCGAGCGACACTGATGATGATCAAGAAGCGGACAACGAGGAGGGAGGGAGACGGCATCACGGCATCCATCCCTCCTCGTGCCGATGGCTATTTCAGGCAGCTGCGTGACGTCTGCAGTGCCGCCCATCGCTGTGACTTTCTCGCTGATCTCTCTCTCAATCTTGTTGGCCTCCTCGACGATGATAAGGGCCGCCTGCGGCGAGCTGAGAGGCCAGGTCGCCGCCATCGCCATCGCCATCATCTGCCGACGGCGAGGGCTCTTTGCGCTTGTTGCCGCCGCTCATGTGCTCATCCACCAAAGAGCCGCCAGCAGCTGCAGCCGCGGCACTCATCGAGGCGACAAATGAGCGCGATTTAAGGTTTGGTTACTGTTTGGTTTGCCTCACTCAGACCGTTTCACGATACCCACAACTGCAGTTGCTTCTGTGCGTGAATGGACACATGCATAAATGAATCAGAGCATTCAGGAGCTGTGTAGCTGTCGGCTGTGTCGTACCCGATATCTGATGCTTACTTATTCATTCTGCAGTGAATGCGTCTGTCGGTCTGTCGGTCGCATGCGTAAAGCTCGTTCGTTAACACACGAGGACGGGACAACACGCAGGGGCAAAAAGGGACGGCGCCAGTCAGTCGGCGGGTCAGTCAGTGAGTCAGTCAGTGAGCCTCTCTGCTACAAGGAAGCTACGCTCGACAACCAGACAGCAACCCGACCCAACGCCAGCACTCACGGAGGGAAAAATCCTCGCCCGTGTGCATGCACCCGTCCTAACAATCGACAGACACTTGACAGACAAGAAGCGATACCAGCTCAGACAGACAACGACCAACACACGTCAAAGAGGGGGAGAGAGAGAGACAGACAGACAGGCGAGTACTCAGTCAGTCAGTCAGTGCGCTCCGAACCGGACAGAGTCATTTAGGAGGGAAATAAACCGCACGATCCGATCTCTCCCCAGAAGCAGCAAGAAAACGAGTGTCTCTCTCTGTGTGTGGGCATGTCAATGATGTCTCTCATGTATCCGTACGTTTGTACGTGTTCAGTACCATTGAGGGAGGGGAACCACACGACAACCATTGAGGGAGGGGAACCACACGACACGACACGATACAATACGACACGACACGACGAGGCAGACAGAGGGGGGCGGGGCCCCTCTGTGCTTTTTCTTCTTCCCCCGCAAAACCGACACCGCACCGCAACTCTGACGTATGAATGAGCCCCTTTCCCATATCCCTCAGTGAGCCGTCAGGTGAAAAAGGCTGCTGACGGCCCACACTCCCTGGCCTGGTGGCTCACAGATGTATGCCCACCCCAACCAACACACGTAGGGTGCCTGCATCGGTGTAAGCACCCACTTCTGTCCGGCCGCATCAGAGATCCATCGGACGTCCGCATGTCTGACAGCATCAAGATATGCACTCAGCCAACATGATGACGTCAGCTGTGCACATCTCGGTGCAGCGCGACATGGAGACATCCCATCATGAGATCTCACAACAACACAAGGTACACAATGGGGCTGCGGCCTGCCTGTCTGTCTGCGTGCAGTGAGCATTGCCACGGGCTCGATGACACATCAATCCTCCTTTTCTATGAGGTGGACGGTGCGTCACCGCCACTCTGGCAGGGCCCTCCGGCACACCAACAGACGACCGCCTTGTCACACACACACACCACACACAGCACTCGCTTCACCGCACAGTGTGAAAAATTATAGGCATGATCAGGAATCAAGAAGGGGCGTGGCCACGCCCGGCGAATGGCTGACGCCCGCAAACAAGAGAGACAAGAAACTCAGTCACGCGCCCCAAGACCCACCCACGCACCCCTTCCACCGCATCAACACAGAAACAAAACGCACCACACGCCCCTGGCCCCTTCCCTCCCTCCCTGCCAGTCTAGCCCTTTTCCTCCTTCTTGACGAAGGGCAGCGGCATCTGCTGCAGGGCGCTGGGGTTGTCGAGGTTGCGCAGCACCGCCGACACGGCCGAGAGGGTCGACTCGAGCACCTCCAGACGCTTGCACTGCAGAGAGGGGTCGGCCGCTGCTCCTGCTGCTGCTGCTGGTGCTGATGCTGCTGATGTGGCAAATGGCGCTGTGGGAGTGGGGGTGGTGGTATCGGGACGGGAGACCTGCTTGGACAGCCACCCGCAAAAGTCATCCTGAACATACGCAGCGACGAAACACTCCTTCTAATGCCTTTCTCCTTTGTCTTGAGTGGGCTCTATCTGTCTGTCTGTCTTATCACTGACCAAGAAGTCAGATCTCTGCTGGCCGACGTCGCCCCCACCCCCAGGAACGGCAGATGCAGCAACGCTGCTGCTTGACGTCGCCTTTTGCGGCGGCCCGTCCACCGGATACCCTCCCACAATGGTCGACCCGACTCGCGCATCTCTCGGCTGCGAGTAGCTGAAAGGTGGCGCGCTGGTCGGCAGCATGAACGGCGCAGGGGCGCGGTCAGCCGATGACGCCTTCCTCGCCCCCTGCTGGTCCAGCAGCACCGTCTCGTCGTCGAGCTCCTCGATCTCGACATTGCCAGAGTTGCGGCTCTCTGTCTGGAGGTCCGGGCTGCCGGCCTCGCCGCCCAACAGGCCGTCGAAAGGCGCGTCGGCCCCGCCCCCGAAGAGACTCATGGTGGGCGGCCCCACCCCGTCGGCCCCGTTGGTGTCGTCGTTGCTCTTGATGAACCCCTCCGCCACGTGGATCATGTCCTCGGTGTCGGCATTGAGGAAGGGCGGAGAGGGAGATGGCGCGCGGAGGCCGGGCGCGGGCGTGTGGGTGTGGGGGTGGGGGAAGAGGCTGCTGGGTGCGGGGTGCGGGTGGGGGGGAGGGGGAGGGGCGAAGGGGGCCACTGATGGGAAATGTGGGGGATGGGGTTGGGGGTTAGTGAAGGCGTCCATGGTCGAGTAGGACGGCTCTGTGGGCGATTCCTGACGCATTGGCGGCATTGGCGGCGGCGGTGTGTCGTAGCCTGCCTTCTTGATGGACTCGCGCAGCATTTGGATCTCCAGATTCTGATCAACACGACACAGCAGAGCTTTTGGCGGTTGCTTCCCTGCATGTCTAGAGAGTCACCTTGAGATGGAGCTCTTTCTCTTTGGCCTCCAGCAGCTGCTCCTTCTCGTGCAGCGACGCACTGATCGATGCCGACAAACACACAAACAAACGAGCCACTTGCTGTGCCATATGTCATATGCCGCTGTATCGTCTTCTCTTCTTTCTCACCGGAGCGGCCCGATGGCCTCGAGCGCCTCCTTTCTCCGCCGCTGCTCGCGACGAGACAACTCACGGTTCCGACGAATGCTGACAGGTACACGCACGACATCAGCATTCGTGTCGGTTGCTGTGTGTGTGGGCGTAGGGGAGGGTGGGGTGACCTACCGAATGCACGCTCTGCAGTCGCACTCCTCTGACCCGTTGTGCGGGCACTTGCGGCTGCTGCCCCCGCCACCACCCCCGCCACCACCACCGCTCCGACGGCGCTTGGACGAGTCGTCCAGAGAGATGTCCTGTGTGCACGTTGGTTGGGTACACGGAACGTACGTATGGGGTACACAAGGCGTCGTTTCTGTGTGTGTGCGTGCGTGTGTGTGTGTGCGTGTCGCCCACCGGGATGTCGGCGACGGCGCGCTTCTTGGGCTTGATGAGAGGAGAACCTGGTAAGGACAATACACGGCGAGTGGATGGATGGATGGATGGAGTTCCTACACACACCGACACTGACCTGAGCACTGTCTGAGCCACTCGGCCAGCTGGCCGTGTGACGTCAACTTCTGCATAACGTGCCAAATCCTGTGACTGAGGCACACACACACACACACACATCCATCCATCCATCCGTCCGCACATTAGCCACCTCCTCACTCCCACTCACCTGTCGTTCTTGGCGATTTCTGGCCCTCCATAGAAGGCAAGCACGTGTGTGACGGTGTTGTCGCTGTAGCTGCGGATGGGCACGCCCAGCACCGTCGTGATGCCCAGTTTGGACGCCATCTTGAAACGCAGAAACGGCTTTCCATTCTGTTTGTTCAAAGGGGCATGGAGGAAGCACAACGAAGTGAAGTCATCACACGGCCCGCTTTCGCTGAGTGGTGGGTGAGGTACCCTCTGACCTGGTGGCTCATCTGCAGGTTATCGGTGAACTCTGGCTGACAGGTCGCCAACACACGGCCGGGCATGCCCTGATGGATGGATATATAAAGAGTGGATGAGTTAGGGGGATGGATGGCTGTATGCGTGTGTGGTGCTGTCTTGTCTTGTTCAGTCGCTGACCTCTCCCCGCTTGAAGACGAACCCGCTGCTCTCGAGCATCCACGACACCAACTCAGGACGAGTCTCATAGTGAAACCTGCAGGCAGCACCAACCAAAGCACGAGCTCTCTCTGCTCCCCCTCTGTGGGTTTGTGTATGTGTGTGGGGGGGTGGGGGGTGGGGGGGTGTCGCCTTACTCTCTGACGTAGTGGAGGTCGTCTTGTATAACCTGCCAGGTGTCCATCGACCAGAAGCCCCCCTCGTTGCCCGCCTCCTTGAGCAGCCGCTGAACTATCTCCTTTATCTGATCAACCATTTCCCACACACACCATTCCTTCAGGCTCTCTGTGTGTGTGCGTCTGTGTCTACTGCCTGTCTGTGTGTAGGTAGTACCTGCTCGGCATCGAACGAAACGGGCACAGACCTGCACACACACACGACACAGAGGCGCCACCTGTCTGTCTGCCAAGGCACTCCGATTCCTCATGTGTGTGAGTGTGGGTCGGTGTGTGCTGACTGACCTTGATATGGCTGTGGTGATGCTGCCGTCATACTGGCCGCCGCCCATGGGCTGTCCATACGGGTAGTTAGGCACCATGGCGTGGTGTTGCGACACGTGCGACGCATAAAACGACTCGTACAACTTCTCTACCGCCACTGCAGTGCACACACATCACCACAGACACACACAGACGTGTGTGGCAGCAAGCGACGAACCCTCGCACCACTCCCCCTCTCATCCGGCTTACTTGGCAGTGTGTCGCCGTATAAGTGAGGGGCATTGGTCTGATACAGAGCATCTCTGCACCACACACACCACACACAAACACACAAACACACACACGCAGAAGACAGGCAGACAGACCCCTTCTCGATAGTCTATCGTTCGTGTGTGCTCCACACATCCCTCGACGCACCTGAAGGCTTCAAAGGGAACATTGGCCGCCCCTCCGTGCACACCAGCAAGGCGCTCAAAAGCATCCTGAGCACACACAACACACAAGGCACACACAAGAGAGAGCAATGCCTCGTCAGCCTTCTTCGACACAATCAGCCGAGACACCGCGCCGCAGCAGTGCCGTGCTGCCCGCAGTGAGCTCACCTGTGCCAGAGCGGCCAGTCCGTTGTGCTGAGGTCCTGCCATCGGCGAAAAACGCACCGGTGGCCTCCCAGCCTCCCAAGGGCAGCAACGAGACGCTCCACACACCTCTCAGAGCGGAAAAAGGGAAAGCGAAGGAACCGAAGGGAAAGGGCGCGCACTAGGAACTTCGCGTTAGTGCTCCCCGAAACCGCTGCTGCGACTGATCTGCGACGGCGTGCCGGACTGCCTCCCTCTCTGATCCATCATCCGCCCTCCTTCGCCGCACCGCTGATGGGGATGTTTTGGTCTCGCCCCCTGTGGGTGCAGGAGGTCGACGAGAAGGAACGGTTTTTTCTGGACGACTATCCACGGCGTATCGATGAGGGTGCGAAGAACATCGGTGCCTTGAGGGATGGGATTCGGGAGAAGTGGAAAGTCGGCGGGCACATCGAGATAAGGCTGATCCTTAAGCCGGGAAGCGGCAAACCATGCGAGTCGGACAGCGTGGCGAAAGTCTTCGGCGAGTGTGGCAGGGACGACAGGGACCCTATACGATGGCAGAAAACAAGTGAGCAGAGCGGGTGACTTATTTGCCTTCTAATCGGTTTCTCTCTGTCTGCCTGCCTGCCTGCCTTCTCTGTGTCTGTCTGCAGCACGGAGGCGGTCTCTCGAAGACGACGACGACAGGGCACCAGTGGCCGTGTCGAAGCTGTCTGTCGTCGGTGAGGTCGACCTGGCCCGAGCCCATGAGCCGAAGAAGACTCCCATTCCCGGCCCCTTCCCAAGCGTCCCGCCCTTTACCGGCGACACCCAGATCGAGCCGCCAGTCCACGAGTATCTCAAGGAGATTCTCGCTAGAGTCGTCGGGGAGGCCAACAAGCTACGAGAAGACAAGCTCGAGGTCTCCGAATGCCGCTCGAGAGTCATGGAGTCAGCCAGACGGCTGCCAACACGGCATGGCGGCTGGCGATATATTTCGGGGAGCCCGGGCAGTTTAGCCATCGGTCCCGACGGCTTGAGCAATGCTACTTCTGACGAGGCATTCGCGGCCAGTCTGGCGGTTATCGTTGAGGCCAAGGCAGCGAAATACACGGAGCGAGGGCTGTCTGAATTCTGCAAGGAGGTCTCAGCCAAGATGTGTGTTGTGCGATCGTGGAAGCAAGACGCAGAGAGCGAGGGGGAAGTGCGTGATGATGCTATAGGTGTCTTGTGCAATGGCACGGAGGCCATCGTGTTAGACTTTTTTCCGGGATACGAAAAGTCAGAGCTCGATATGGGTGAGAGTCAGGCGCTCTGTATGAGTGATCTTGCCAATTTTCTGGTGGGTTTCTTGAGCGAGTGGCGGGTGCAGAGAGAGATCAGTATAGAGGAGGAAGCAGCACTAGCTGAGAGGACTCGGGATCGTGCTGCTCGGAAAGCTCAGGATGAGGAGGAACTGATTCGTTGGGCGGAGCAGTTCATGGATGAAGACGACAGTTGTGATATAAGGAAGTGGGGACCCAAAATAGAGCGTGCATTGGTGAGTGACTTGTGCGTGAGTGGATGATGGATGCGCTGAAAGTTTTTGTCGACGAGAGATGGCACATTGCGTCGCTTTTCATTATGGCCACCCACTGCAGTTTGCAAGCTACATCCATGTGTCTTCCTGAAGAGACCGTTTGGCCCTTCATCAGACCATCCGGTAGGTGTGGCTCCGTTCGTTGGACAACGAATGAGAGCACACCTACAGAAGGCCCAACAAAGGGCGAAACGAAGTGTCAAACACTGTCCCACCGGCCTCTCTCTCTCTCTCTCTGTGTGTGTGCAAACGTCGCTCGCTGCAGTCCCAGACAAGCCTGTCTGTCTGCCCACCCACCCATACAGACATCATTTCCCCTCGACAGCAATCGATCAATCAGAGCCCCTCTTGCCTGCCGCCGGCCTGTGTGACATCTGACGGCTGCTGTTGCTGCTGCTGTGTGAGTGGGTGGGGTATAGGGCGCGCAGCGGCCGTGTCGATAAGCGCCCGGGAGCGGAGCCGTCGCAGGGGGTTGGGGCGGGCCGAATCTGAATGACACAGAGAGAGAGAAATAAGACAAACGGGCGTGCTTGCTTGAGAGTGCTCGTGTTGTGCGCGTGTGTATGTGTGTGTGTGCGTGTATGGTGGGTGGGACCACCTACACACCTCTGGCCTGTGTCTCATCGTCTTCCTCCTCATCCATGCCGTCGTCATCCTCAAGACCCTCAGTCGACTCCAATGCTGGATCCTTGTGCAACCTGCAAACACACCACACACATACATGGATGGAAGGATGGATGGATGGACCACATCGTGTGTGTTGGCTGACCGGTAAAGGAACACGCCCAGTATGATGGCCGCCGACGAGAGGGTCGCCAGGTAGTCAAACGGGTCGAGCGGCCTGATTTGATTGATGGATGGACCACGCCGCACCACACCACACACACACAATAAAGTGTGTGAGATTGGATATGCATAACTCATCTCACCTGACGACAAAGAAGGTGATGAAGGCCGCCAGCGCGCCAACCGACGACACGGCACCCAACGCAACGATGCCATCTGACCACACACACACACACACACACCACACCACACACCATCGGGCCGTTTCTCCCTCCCTCCTCCCCTCCCTCTCTCCCTCAGTGCTTTCTCACTGACGCATTGATTGCATGGCCATTGTCGAGCTGTAGTAGAGCAACACGTGTGAGAGCAGCAGCAGCCCCACGAAATCCCGGGCAGTGCGGCACTCGCCAGGCTTGAGCGACAGCATGCTCTGCAGCACATCACCGCCCGATAGCGAAGGCGGTGATGGAGGGGGAGAGGGGGCGGGAGGGGCCGGGGCGGTCGTCACGGGCGACGGCTCGGGCGGATCAATGCCCCCTACACAGACAGACAGACAGGCAAGACGGTCCCTTATCGATAGGCGCGAGTGCGTCTGCCCCTATGTGTCTGTCATTCTCACCGACAAGGCACATGAATGCATCCCGATAAAATAGCTGTGGCGACATCAGATCGCCCGTGTTGGCCTCATCGCCGGCACCCAATAAAGCCCGACGAAGCGACACAATGGAAGCAATAACATTATTGTTGGGCGGGGAGGAGGGGCCGGGAGGAGCTGGGGGCGGGGTGGTGGTTGCAGGGGTAGGTGCGGGCGGGTGCACATGGTGGCCCGTGTGCAGGTGCTGCTGCAGGTACAGGCCGGCAGGGAGGAAGGCGAACGACCACAGCAGCTGGATGAGCGATATCAGCGCGTGAAGACACCGGGGGTCGGCGGGCTGCGGCGAGTGCAGCAGGGCCACTTCCTTCCAGGCGCCCGAGATGACGGTCAGGCAGCCGGCGAGGATGTAGAGGTATGACGACCAGTGGGAGGGGCACGTGGTGGTCGTCTTGGCCCGCGCCCAGGGCACCACATTGATGGCGATGCCCAAAAGGATCAACAGCGCGCCGACGTAGTGGACGGCACGGTACCTAGAATACGGGGAGGCCGCTGGTCAGTCATGTGCCTTGCCATTCTCTCTCTCTCCCTCTCTCTGTGTGTGGGGTATGTTATGGTTACTTCCTCTGGTGCAGACATGCGTTGATGAACAGCTGTATGGGAATCCCCACCTGCAGCGACGTCACCGTCTGCCACCCAGGCATGATGCTGACACAAGAGCATCGAAGCAGTCAGTCGCATCCATGAGTTGAGTGAGTGCATCGGACGGCGTGTTGGCTACCCTGCCGGCACATAGAAGAGTATGGCGGCGATGCAGTCGATAAGGCCCCACATGAAGAGCGACACGCCCGACAAGTTGTTGGCGGACGGACGGGGGAACGACGTCGCAGCACCTGGCCACCACCCACACACACAGAAGCACTCTCGCATAAAGAGCCGGGAAGGGGTGTGCGGTGCAGCTGGCTCACTTTCTGCGATCTCTCTGAAGAATTCCCTGACTGAGTGCATGGCGGCGCGCCATCTCGCCCTGCCCCCCGCCACCAGCGGAACACGCCGCGAAGTCGCGGCATCTCTCGGCTCAGGCTGATGCTGGCATACACGCAGAATAAAATGTCACACCGATGCCACAATGCCTCTTTGTCCATTCCCGCACTAACCAGCACAGCGACCATGTCCGAGCTGCCACCTTCGACTTGGTTCACAGAGGCCAGGTCGGTGAAGTCAGCTTCCCCGTCAGCTCGTCGATCTGGCGAGGGGAAACCTGTTGTGGGCTGGACAGTGGCGTGCCGCTCCGTGTGCAGGGGCAGCCGCCGCCTGTGCACGCGGACGAAGGCCACCAGGCAGCCGCTGAGAAGACCGAGAGGGATGTGCACCAGACACACCAGCTGCCTGACAGACCAACACAAGATAGATGGATGGATGGACTGTGTGTGGGTGTGGTTGGTTCCCGCCTCACATGACAACATATCTGTAGTGCCTCGCCGTCGAGCAGGCCTCCTTGAAGAACACCCGCTCGCCCCAGCAGAAAGCCACCACCCCTGCCAGCGGCACCCACTGCTTGACCACCTTCTTGAGGTAGCGGCCGCTCAGCACACGGGCAGGCAGCCGCCCAACGATGTTCCTCCGGGGCCGAATGTGCCACCAGGTGGGCTGGTGGAAGTACCGCCGCACGCCGTTCAGCCCGCTGGGCAGCTCATCGCTCTGCAGCCATGACGCAGTGCTGCTCGTCAGGTCGGTCGGGCGGGTCTTCAGAGGCACATCGCCGCTGCCTTCGCTCTCGTTGAGCCGCTCGTCAGCTGTGAATGAGCCGTTGTTGTAGGCGAACGACACATCCGTCGATTGCGCAGTGATGCCAGAGGTGTTTGTCGACTGAGCTGCTCGAGGCTCCATCTGGGCGAGAGGGGAGAGAGTGAGGAATGGACGCAAAGGTAAGATGGTCGAGGAGGCTTCAGAGAGCCCAGACGTCCTCAGGCAAAGCCTTCACGCTCAGGTGTCATCACAACAGTTCTTCCTGATGATGAAACGGAGAAAAGAAAGGAGATGAGAAACTTCTGGATGCATGCTTGAGTGAAGTCGAGTCATTCTCAGCCTCGTACCCCTCCTGTTTGCAACCTGTGTTTTCGCATCGGTACTCAGCGGCAAAAATTAGTTGCGATCCGAGACGGGCAGTAACTCTCCGCGAGGCAGTGTTCGCCCCTACCACGGCGACTGCTCGGTGGAGCCGCTCAACTAATCAGATAACCTCAACACCAACGCCGACGCCCTCAGAGAGGTGGCCAAAACAAAAAATTGGGCCAAAATCAGAACCAACCGGCAATACATTGGACAAATGAAGACATCGAGTCGTCTGTCCAGATACACGACCAACTAGATCCACAGGCGGCCAAACTTAACACATGGCCCATCCATCCATAACAGCCTACACTTTCAATGCACAAGCCTCCCCCTCCTGGATCTACTTAAGAAGCAAGCAGGCCCTCCAGCCGGCGCTTCGCCTCTGCCAACTGAAACACACACACACGCTCAAATACAGCACCCTTGTGTGTATGCCGCCACCCACAATGTGCCTCACTGACCCTGTCGCTGTGTGTGGCCTTGATGTAAGCCGTGTTGTCCCTCTTGCGGTGCTTGCTCCGGAGCGGCCGCCCCTTGTCAGCCGCCATCCTGCTCGTCACCTTCACCTCACCCTCATCGTCCAAGAACATCAGCCTCTCACCATCGCCACCATCATCACCACCGTGCCCAGTGTCACCGCGCCTCTCCGCCCGCTGCTTGTGGTGCTTGACCTTTCGTCTGGCGATCTCTTGTGCGATCTCTGGCGGCACCTCGGTCTCTGCTGTGGGACTGGCGCCTACACGCCTGGCGCGGGGCAGCTTGATCTCGAAGGAAGTCGCAAAGTCGAAGGAATCGTCATTGGACGGACAACGGGCATTGGGACCACCAGGCAGCTAGTGGAGAGAAAGCCAGAGAGGGCGTATGTGTGTACGCGTGTGTGTGGGCTTCTCGCGTACGTCTGCGAGTCTCTCTTGGTCGAGCCCTTTGGCGGTGTCCTGGATGAGCACTTTGAAGTTCTGACCAAGAGCAGCACCACAAAGACACAACACGATCTCTTGAGTGTCTTGTGTGCTTCCCTCCCTCCCTCCCTCCCTGCCTAACATTGCCCACCGACCTTCGGGTAGTTGTGTGTGACAAAGGGAAGGCGGACCACCTTGCCGGCCACCAGTTTGCGCGAGCACCGGCCGCTCAGCCACCGCATCTTGGTGTGCTTCGGCGTGTCGCTCGGGACATCCACCGGCACACGCACCAACACATCCAGCCCATGGCGCGCATACTCGGGCTTGATGAACCTGTATATATTGGACACAATACGATCAGTGCGTTTGGCCATGGTGCGCTTGTGGGTCCCTCCCCCACTGACCCCATAGCGATGCGTCGTTTGAGCACCGGGCTCCAGACGGCCGAGGTGACTTCGCCGATGGGTCGCCTGTGTGGGTTAGAGAGGATGCCGCAGCCGGCGAATACGTGTCGGTCGGCGAGGAAGCCCACCCGCCGGTAGGTGGGCCCCTTGGCCAGCTGCACAAACAGCTTCTCCCAGCCGAACATCATGTGCCGACGCATCTTGTCCTGGTCCAGCAGCCAAGTCAGCGACGCGTGCACGGGCGTGACCTGAGCGAGGAAGAAAAGAGGGGCTGGCTTGTGTGTCGCATGTGTCTTGTGTCTGATGTGGTGGTACCAGTGGCGTGATGTCCACTCCTGCCCGAGGCAGCCCTGCCTCCATTCGCAGCATGTCCAGGGTGAACAAACCAGCTGGGGATAATGACGGATGGGCAAGCAGCGTCCTGCACACAGACAGGTGGACGGATGAGCCGGGAAGGATCTGACCTCCCTTCGTCATGCACCCACCTGGCGAGCACCGGCGCTAGGTCAGGTGTGGTGACGATCTCCACGCCGTCCTCGCCAGTAATGCCCGCCCGCATCAGCACCGCATCGCCACTCTTCCCCCCATCCCATGACCACTGCAGACTGGCCGCCTGGAAGTACTTCAGCGACAGCAGCTGAGAAGGCGATATCTCCTCGCCGTTGTGGTCGAATGCTCGGGCGAAGACAGGAACAGGGAAGGAGAGAGATGGCGGGGGTGGGAGAGGGGCGCCTTGCTGGTGGTCTGTGCCTTGCGGGGCGTCTGGTGTTGTTTGCATGGCCGTGAGGCAGTCGGTGAGGACGTTCACCGCCTTTGGACCCTGCAGCGCGAGATTCGCCGTGTAGACGGACGGCTGGATGTTCACATCAAGACCAGACTGCCTGCACACACACACACACACACACATCCATCCATCCACTGGACATCTCGCATGACGTATCCATCGCCGCGCATGCACCTGCAGTAGACAATGTACTGCGACAGGTAGTCGAAGAGGCTCTTGCGGTTGTGGCCCGAACACGTCATGAGGATGTCATCCACCCTCTTGCACACAAAGGCGTCGTCAAGGATGTACCCCTTGCTGTCGACCACACACGCATACTGCACATTGCCCAGCTGCACACACACACACACACTCTCATAGAGAGGGCATCAATGTACCCAGCGTGACTGTCTCTTCGCGTGTGTGTCGCGTGCCTTCATTTTTTGCAGAGAGCAGGTGAGAAAGTGGTCGGCAGCGAGGTAGCGGTCCTTGCCGCTGATGTGGTAAGCGGCACGGTAGGACGTGTCGATCAGCACCGCACCGCTGCGGGCGGCCGCATGACCCGACACAGCACCCCTGCATAGACACCACACACCACACAATCGATGGGCTATCCATCTCCGCTTGTGCCTCTGTGTGTGGCTCGCTCACTCAGGATATGTGCTGGGCACCATGCAGTCGTGAAAGCGCACGAACTCGGCCCCGTAGGTGGCCCACACGTCGCCAAGGGATGTGGTGCGATCCTCACGGTGCTCCTGGAACGCCCCCTTGGTGCCCTTCTTTCCACCCCTGCCCTTCTGCCGCCCTTTGCTCTGTCGCTCCTGATCCGCCTTCTCTGCGTGCCGCCGCTCCCACGGGGCCATGTCGTCCTCTTTCATGTCCTCGAATGAGCGGATGCCGCTGGCCTGCTTCCGCCTGAGCAGCCGGCGGATCCTCTCCTCCTTGAGATCGGACATGCCGTCGTCAGCGAAGCCCGGGAACATCTCATCGTCGGGCACCTCGTGCCACGATTGGGATGTAGAGGATTGTGCGTCCTCTCCCGGCTCTTCTTCTTTCCTTTTTGCATAGTCCGTCGCCCCCCACGACTCGACTATGACACCGATGGGGCTGCCGTGGTCATCCACCACTTCTCCGTGGGGCGTGCGGTCCGCAAGAAAATCGGCCTCGTCGTCTACTCGACGTGGCGGTGGCGGGGCAGCCTGTGGCTGCTCGTCAGGCTGGGGTTGATCCACAGTCCGCCGTACTGGCTTCTGCCGGCCGTCTTGCTCGTGGTGGGTCTGCTGCAGTGAGGCCACCTGGACGTGTGGGTATCTGTCGATGAGGTTGTTGAGGTGCGGCTTGTCGCTCCACCTGCGGCCTCCCTGCTTCGTCCGCCTTTGCTGCTGCTGCTGCTGTTGGGTCTCTCTGCGCTGCTGCATTATCTCCTGCCTGTGCCGCTCGGCGCGCGCAATGAACTCGGGAAGCGGGTCACTGCCAGATGGCTGAAGACGCCACACACCGCAAGACATACAGAGATGGTGTTGGTGTTGGTGTGGCTTTAACCTCACCGGCGAGGATGATGGCCGTCGAGGGCCGTCAGTGTCGGCGACCCGGTTGTGTTGGTAGTCCATGATGCCCTTGACATGCTCCCGCACAAAGTCTCCCGCAGTCGGCACGTACTGCTCGAAGTCTGCGCGCGCCTCCACGGTCCGCTGCAGCACCGAATGCAGCGGCTCCCCCTCCCCATCAGCATCGCTCTCGCCTTTCCTCACGGCCTCTAGAAGCGTCGCATCAATGCGCTCGTACGCATCAGCCACAAACTGCTGGTGGGCCTCGTTGGGTCCGTCGAGCTTCATAGGTCCGCTGAGAGGGTCGGCCATGCAGCCGCCGCGGGAGCCTCGTCGTGGCAGCCGCTTTGGCAGCTCTGACGGGGCGTGGGGGAACTTTTTGCTCATGAACGACTCGCGCTTGCGGCTGAGCTCACGGCTGGCCGGGAAGCTGTGATGGACGCGGGACAGCGTCACGAAAGGGCGAGATGACTGAGCAGGGACAGACAAACAGATGCATAATTCATTCATCCGTGTGTCAGCGTGTGATGTGCAGTGGGTTTCTTACGTGTTGTGTGCGAGGTCTGAAGCGCCTGACTGCCCTCCAGCTGGACAGACAATGTGCCATGAAGCAATACGGTGATGATCAAAGATCCATCGATCTGATCAAAGATCGGGGAATGTGTGGCACCAGTAAGGCTTGCTGCAGGCTGCAGAGCCCCGAGAAAAGCCAGATCTCTCGCCGAGAGAGAGGATCGCTCTGCGCGCGAGCTGATCTCAGCGCGCGAAATCACCTGCGCAGTGTCCTCTGGCAAACACGAGCAAGACATCAATGGGCACATGAAGATCTGATCCTATGCTGATTCAGCATAAACAAACGATCGATTCATGACTCTATGACGTACTGTCCCAGGCCATGGGTCCTTCTTCTCGGCATCATCTTTTTCCTTCCGCGGCTTCGGCTAAGCCATGCAGGCCCAGCAGGACGGACAGTCTGGCCCGAGAGAAGACTGCAGGCACCAGCGAATGCCTCAACAACAGCCGGCTATCAACCCTTGGGATGGAGCGTGGCGGCTTTGGATATGTCCTATCTGTTCGTGTCGTATAAGAAGACCGAGTACCACGACAATGGGGACATCAACCGACAGGTGAGGGGAAGGCTGATGGCATGAATGGTACGTGCCCGGCACGGGAGTCTGGTGCGCGCGTGTGTCTGTGTTTGTGTGTCAGCTTGGTGCACCTTCATTTTCCTGGACAGCGATGGAGGAGCTGCCTTCATGTGCTGCATGCCAGGTGGATGCCGACGCGCTCTTCGAGGTGGGCCACGAAAGCGGACTGGCCGACTTCGAGGCCGAGTTCGATGCCAAGACACGACGAAACATCTGTGAGCTGTCCTTCGTCGTATGTGTGAGGGTCACGGAGGATGCCGTCGAAGGCTATATACTGATGTTGGTCGGCGACAGCGCCACTGTGCTTCTCTCGGGAGTACCTGTGTGGGTGATGTTATTGGGTGGGTCATCGGTACCATTGCCTTCAACCTTATTCGACTTGACAGCTGTCCTCGGGCTGGTGATCTTATCTACGCCCTTTGAAGGGGTGATCGACGACCGACTCGGCAACTTGACATCTCTCAGGCTCCTCCAATTGGAGGACAATCAGGTAGGAATGATGGAAGGAGAGGGAGCCTATGGGCTGCTCATCAATGATGCATGTGGTTGTGTTGCATTCTGTTGGCATCCAATGCAGTACCTGACTGGGGCTCTTGGACATTCGATCGGCCGTCTGCAGAATTTAAGGGTCCTTTCAATCTCGGGAGGCAACGTTGCTGAGCCGTCCTCATCATACCGCTTCCACGGAGATATCCCAAGCACCCTTTTCGCGCTGCCACATCTTCAATCGCTTATCATTCAGTTCACGCAGCTAAGACTTCTATCGTCGGGCGATGATTGGTGTCCCGAAGGTGGTGCCCAGCTTCGTGTAGTCGATCTTTCATCCAACCCTTACCTGCTCAAAGCCTTTCCGACAGGCCCCCTCAGCTGCAGCCGTCTGAAGTTCCTGTTTCTGAGAGGACTACAGCTAGAAGGCCCTCTCCCAGAGTCCATCAATCGTCTGTCCTCGTTAGAGATACTCGACGTGCCGAGGAATGCCATGACAGGACCTCTGCCGTTCACTTTGGGCGACCTGAAGGAGCTGAGGTTTTTGAATCTTGGAAAGAATATGTTTGATTTTCTTCTCCCCGTCTCATTTGGGCTGAAATGGAGGAATCTGCGCGTGTTCTATGCTGAGGAAAACCAAGTGAGCGAGAAAGAAAGGAGGAAGGAAAGAAAGCAGCAGAGCTGTGCCCATCTGTTTCACTCTGTCCACTTCGGCTGTGTGCAGCTCTCAGGTATGCTACCGTGGGCTCTCGGATTCGCTACAGAGCTTCGCCATCTAAGTCTCCAGAGGCAGTTTCTGACGGGGCCGATTCCTGCGTCTTTCAGCAATCTCTCTGAGCTTCGAGCGGTGTGGCTCAATGACAATATGGTAGGTACAGGATCAGTGCGCATACAGAATGACCCTGCCCACATGTAACGTCGTGTGGCGATGGCAGTTAACCGGAGAGCTTCCGGACCTGTCAAAGTGGACAAAAGTGGAGAATATGGATATAGCGAACAATCAGCTCAGCGGCTCTTTGGATCCTCTCACAAAGCTGCAGGCTGTTCATACTCTTCGCATCTTCAACAATCAGGTGGCTACCGTTGATTTTCTGTCAGTCACTCGCTGCAAATCATTGTGCGTGTTCTTGATCTTTGTCCGTGTGCCTGTGCAGTTTGAAGGTCAGATTCCGCAAGAGCTTGTCAGTTTGCGCGAGCTGGTTACACTGAATGCGCGAGACAATAGGTCAGTGTGCAGACAATAGGTCAGTGTGCACCACTGCTGCGCATTCACAATGCCTTTCGTCGTCTCCATCTCTTCTGATTGATCTGCCATCAATCCCGTCAGGTTGAGTGGTTTGCCGCATTCGCTCGATGGCTGGCCCAAACTGGTATATGCCAATCTAGCTCGAAATCAGCTGCAAGGCTTCATACCGCTCATGGAGAACCTCACGTCGCTTGAGTCGTTATCGTTTGTGAGCAATCGCCTTGAAGGCTTCGAAGGCGACGGCCGACTGCCATCCAGGTCAGAAGATACATGAATCGATGCGCGAGAGTGTAATCAGTCAGTCTCTGGATTACTGCGTGGCGTCAGGCTGAAGCAGCTATGGTTGGGTGGCAACCAATTCTCACGACTGCCAGAGGGATGGCATACATTGCCAGCGAGGTTGGAATTCATACAGCTGAGTTATAATGAGATCGGCGTGTGGCCTGACTGGGGCAGAACAGCGCTCGGTCACGATCTCTGCAATAAGCTGAGAATCGGTATGGCATATGAGTACGGGCGCCAATCACTAATACCTGTCTTCTGGAGTTCGTTCAGGGAACGAAGAGACGGCGTTGACTTTGGTGCGTCATCAGCGACCGCCTAACTGGCCGGCACTTCAAATCCTGGATGTATCCCATAATCCTCTCAACGTCAACGTCAATTTCTTTTTGTCCACTCTCAAATGGCATCCGCGGTGAGAAAGAGAGGCAAGGAGATGGCTCTTTTGCTTCATCTGTGTGCGTCTCATGCAGTTTAAGGGAGATTGAGTGTCAGGATTGCGGCGTTAAGGGGCCGATGGGCTGTGAAGCATATGTAACGTACGACTATGACCAAGTTGTGGCTCTTTCCAACAAGACGCGAGGAGACATTTCGTTTGTAAGACTCCTGTAGTTAATCAGCTTTCGACGGCACCATTGTGACCATTCTCTGTCCCTTGTCCGTATCAGGACGATCAAGTTGAGACATTTTCTGGCTTCCTGGCTCTCGAGGCTCTCAATCTCGCGTCAAATCCTCTGAAGGCCCTCCAAACAAGCTATGACCCGCGAGTGAGCTTTCCGAAGTCAACGTCCGTGCTGCAGCGCTTGGATGTCCGCAACGCGAGCCTCACCGCAGTCGAACCGCTGGAATGGTTCGCTGTTGACACAGGAGACTTCACCGATAACCCGCAACTTCAACTGTCGGTCCCTCCCGCCTCCAATATTACAGTGAGACACGTCAATCTCAAGGGTGGCTTCTGTACTTCTTTGTGCTGTGTGTTGCTTTTGGGTGTGTAGAGCTGTGCTGAGCTGTCAGAAGGCGCTGCAGATTCCATCGAGCGGTACCTACAACCTGACCCAAACGGTGAGAGAGCCATAAGGCACAGGGGTCATTGCTTGCTTGGATGGTTCTCATTCTCCCTCTCTCGTGTTTGTGCTGCCGCTTTGCCAGCTTTCGCACCAAAAAGGGACGACATCTCGCAGCAAATGCTTCCACATGAGTGCACACGGCTCTGTCGAACATTCAACGTCCTCCAGGTACGAAAGCTGCTCGACAAAACGTGCCCCAGAATTGCATCCTGTGTCTCCTTTTGCTATCTGTAGGTCGACGAGGCGTTGAATGTGACATCGCTGTGCCGATGCATAGATGGTCATGAGGGCCGTGGGAAGTTGTGCACACCATGCCGCCGAAACACCTTCTCCAATCGTCGATCCGGCACCGAGCAATGCACCCCATGCCCGCACGGCTCCGGTAAGTGAACAGTTGGGCAGCGATTCTTGTATTGTCGTTCTCTTTTGTGCAGAGTCTTCTCCTGCTTCCGCAGCGTGTCATTGCAAGCTTGGCTACGAAGCTGACGATAAAGCCGATGATACAGAGGAGCTTTCCTGCCGGGCTTGTGAAGCAGGTATGCTGACACGGCTGACGCTCGAATGTGTTTGACATCCGTGTGACATCTGTAGGCACGTATGGGAAGCTGTCTGGCGGCATAGCGACGTGTGTGAGCTGCGGTGGACCTCGCTTTACATCCCTCCCCAAGACCACCTCGCGTGACCATTGCCTTTGCATCGAGAAGTACATCTTGTAAGTTCACAAGGCACACATGCCAACGAATCGCTCTCTGTCGTATGTTGTGTCTTGTCTGCGTATATGTGCTCTGTGCAGGAATCGTCATTCCTTTCAGTGTGAGGACTGTATGGCCTATGAGGGCTTAAACTGCTCGCTCCCCCTCCGTCCATCGAGTGTCACCGTCAAAAGGGGCTTCTTTCTTCTCACCGTCCAAATCATGGAAAGCATAATGCCTCGGGTATCCGTCGACCGGGAGCTTCCTCGGCGCAGATTGGCCTCCGCTGCAATTCGATCCACGTAAGTCGACAAATGACCGTCTTGTCCATACCTGTATGCATCTATGCCCTTCGCTCATGTGTGAGTTGCAGGTACGCTGCGAACATAACCTCATTGCCCATAGCGGTGGAGTGCCCATACGGTCCTGCATGCAACCCGTACGGCACAGACCCCGTCAACCAATGCACGGTCAGTCAGGGAATATGAAAAGGATCACGTGTCCAGATTTTCCTGCTGCTGTCTTCTCTTGTTGTCAGGAGGGGCATGCAGGTATACGAAAGTCTTGCCGCATCGCTGAGACTCTTTCTCATCTGAGTTTGCCTCACTGTGTGGCTGCAGGTTTTGTGTGTGGCCTGTGTGAGTCGGGATTTGCTCGATCGACCCCATTGGCGCCATGCCGCCCCTGCGCCGCAGGATGGCAGAATGTGCTTAGCAATCTCGCATTGTTGGCCGTTTCTATCGGCGCCATCTTCCTACTAACACATCTGTCTAAACGGTGAGCTGAGACAAAGCTACCTTCTTCGAAGCAATTTGCTGACTTTGTCTCATCTCAGTGCTGCGTCCGCTCTTCATGTCGGTCTCATCAGTGTCATCCTAAAGATAACCATTGGCCACTTTACTGTGGTAAGCTGCTGTGGCCAACGAGTTGACGCTGAGATGTTTGCGATACGTGGCGCTTCGTGTCTCTCTTGCTGGTCATATTAGATGAGCGGCTTGATGGCGTTAGACTATGCTGTGCTTCGAGGCGATACAACATCGCAAACAGCGCTGCCTTCCGTGTATCGTGGTCTTTTTGGCTGGGACGGCGGCATCTCGATGGAATACACGTCGTGGACGTGCCTTTTTGCGTCGCTGGTGGGTGATGAGACAGCTGAGCTGTGGCGCCATGCGGTCTGGATCGGACTGCCCATCATCCTCCTCGTTGTGGTCACACTTTTTGGTACGACTGCACGGGCTGATGCCCAATATTCACTCATTGCATCTCTTCCTGCTGTTGCACTTCAGCCGAACTGTGGATGGTGGCAAGCGGCCGTCGCCATCGAGACATCCGGGCCTCTTCTGTTTCCGAATCCCTTTTTGACTTGACAAAAAGAGCGACAAGTCAGCAGCTTCCAGGAGGCAAGGGCGACCATAGCAGTGAGGACGACAGGGCCTTCTCTCATGCAACGCGCAGCCACACTGCTGACGAGTCGGAGACGGCCTCGCGTTCTCTCGACCGCACACAGACTCGCGCGTCCACCAACGCAACAAGAGAGACCACCAAAAGCCATCCGACGGATGCGCAATCCAGGGAGAAGCGGAGAGGGCTGCTTGGATTTGTGGATAGACATGCGACTCTGTGGATTGTCACTCTCAACCTGTGCTTCCCAAGTAGGTGGCTGCAACGGAGAGAGCGAAGCGATTTGACCGTTTACGTTGCCTTGCGTCTGTGTGTGGGTTCATGCAGCGGCGACTCGTAACTTTCTGTCCCTGCTCCGCTGTCGAGACTATCCGTTTGTCCAAGAGAGCTTCACAGCTGATGAGATCGCCATGCAAGGGCTTCTGCAGCCGACAGACCTTCCCCACTTGCGTCGCCTCGATCTCAAACCAGACGTCTTCTGCGATGTGCGCTCGACTACATACCTGCCGTTCCTCATCATCGCCGTCATAGGCCTTTTTGCATGGGTCGTCCTGCCGATTGCCTCGGGCCTTGTGGTCCTGGTGCGCCACTACAGAAAGGGAGAGCTCCATCTGCCGTCGGTGCGTGAGCGCTATGGGTTCCTCACCAAATCGTATCGGCAGAACTTCTTCTTTTGGGAAGCAACAGTTGCCTTTAGGTCAGGAATGGACATATGTTATTTGATGTGGTTCTCATACCGTGCTGTGCTTCCATCTGCGTTAGGCGTGTTTTCGTGTTGGTCGTTGCATCGGTCGCGATCACCCAAGCTCGAGTCCAGCTAACGGCTTGGAGCCTCCTCGCTGTGACAGCTCTGGTTGTACAATTGCGGCTGCAGCCCTTTCGTCGCGATCGGCGGAATCTTCTCAACCGCATTGAGGAGCGAGGGCTCGCTGTGTGGCTGCTGTCGGTGATCCTCATGCAGTTTGCCTTCGGAGGCGTGCTGTCGGACACAGGACACCTTGCAGTGCTTACCGTGGTCATACTGATGAGCTTGCTACACTATGTCAGCATCCTGGTCACCATCCTTTCCCTCTGGCTACAGCAGACGGCCCGCGACTATCAGGAGAAGGAGGACTTCAAGCTTCTGTGTAAGCCGATTCACCGTCGGCGGGCTTTTGTGTAGAAATTGAGCATGCTTTGCTCTGGATGTCAGATTTGTTGCCAAAGTCCCGGCTAAGGTGGCTGGGACCGTTCGTCGACTGGCTCTCGGCTGACACGACCAGCGTCTCGCTGCAGTACGAGAAGGGGCTGTCAATGGGTCCGCAAAAAACGGCGTCATGTGGCCAGCGTCTGTGGTCTTTGCTGCGGAGGAGGGGACGCCCCCGGACGGCGTTGGAACTGACGTCTGAGGCGATGAAGGAGGCGCTGGATGTGCTCAAGCCGACGACAGTGCCCCCAGACTTTCTCAACTTCCTCTATGCGCATGCCTGCGTCAGCTACGCTTTGAGTGAGTGAGTGAATGAGTGGGTGGGCCCATGACGGTCAGTTACATCTCTCTGCTTGCTCTCACGCATCCAGGGGACAGCGATAGCTGCCACATTGTGCTGAACGACGACGCCACATCAGCGGCGACAGTGACGATTCCGATAGAGGACTTCCAGGTACGCACAGCTATACCTGTCTTCCCTGCATGTGCTCGTCTGTCATGTGGCCGTCCGTGTGTTCGTGCCTGCTGCAGCTCCATCTGAGCTCTGTGGTTGAAGAGCTGATAGGTCGCGAAGAGCGCCACGGCGAGGGGCCTCACAAGTCGGAGGGATGGGTGGAGCTGTATGTTCTCTACCGAGGCGTCAAGAAAGCCCTCAAGAGCAGTGCTGCATTAGAGGCAGCCGACTTATCCAACGACGAGGTGACCACGGACGGCCATTGAGGACGCTCAGCCACTGTGCGTGGGTGCTCTGTCTTTGTGCAGGTGGCACTTCCCCATCTGATGGCCTCCGCTGCTGTCCGGCTGTCTAAAGAGATGACCGCCTCAAGCGACCGTGCCTCCGCGGACAGTTTGGCCACAGCAAGCGCTTCATCAGACGAGTGGATTGCGTACATCAATCGCGTGTACCAGTCAATGCCATCTATCGTCGGGGCCCAAGCTGAGCTGCTGCTGGGAGGGGAAGGGGGAAAGGCGGAGGCGAAAGAAGGAGAGGAATTGAGCCTGGAGGGCTCTGCAAGGCCCATCCCTCCTTCCGCCGACGTCACACTCATCTCTCAGTGCGTCACTTTTGTAAGAGAGTAGGTAGCTGCCTGTTTTTGATCCGTGCAGTCATTAATGGGTGCTTGCGCCCTTTTTTGTGCCACTGCTCCGCATGTTTTTGTCTACTGCCCCCCTGTTTTTTGTCCGGTGTCGCGTTGATACAGCGTGCACGGAAGTCTGCATAGCGTACGATGTAAGTACAATGTATGTGTACAGATGTCTGCCAGTCTGTCTATCTGTCTTGGCCGGTGGATGGATTGTGTGTTGATATGTGGATGTCAGTTTTGTGTTGTATTTGTGAATCAGTGAGTACGCCGTGGTACTTACTGTACGCATAGTCTGCTCTATGTAGCCGTTTTTTGTGTGGACTGTTCCCCGTCTTTTTGGCCACTGCTCCCCTGTTTTTCGTCTGTTGTCGCTTTGGCAGAACATGCACGGAGGCCTCTGCATAGAGTACACTCGTGTGCTCAAATGATGTCTGTCTGTCTGTCTGTCTGGGCCGGTTGATTGTGGATATGGACATGTGGATGTCACTTTTGTCTTATATTTGTGAATCAGTGAGTAGGCCGTGGTACTTACTGGACGCATAATAGGCTGCTATCTGTAGCCGGGATGCAGCGATGGCCTTCCAGTGCAGGTCGGCCCTTCGTATGAGTGACGTACCGTGCGCTGCCGCCGCTGCGTATTTGTCACGTGTTTGATGTGATAAGCGGGGTGCATGTACGGGTACTGATGCGCCTGGCTGGCCATGGCAGCCGACTGGACGGACAAATTCTGGTGGTCGTCTCAAGGGTCGTCTGCACTGATGGTCCATCAATCCGATCAGCAACCAGAACGAGTGACATCAACAAGGCTTTGCCTTGCTGCTCAGCCCCTCGGCTCAGCCCCAGCAGCCCCACAAATACCCCCGCGATCCTCCCTGCGAGCTAAGCTCTCAGGTGAAGATCTCCCCTTTCCTTCCTTTCCTTCCTCCGCCGTGCCGTCCCTCGTCAGTAGGCTGATAGACTCCCAGCTGGTGAGCAGCATCGGCGACTACTTGCATCTTTTCCGGAAGCGAATTGAGGACCTCCGTGACAAGCGCCGCAGCATCCACCCTCCTCCGCCTTTCTATCACTCTCCCGACGACCCATGCGTCAAATACTTCAAGCTCCACGGCTTCCTGCCCCACAAAAGCGCAGTTAATCACGCTATATGCCCGCCTGACCTTGCCATTCGCGAGATCGTGGACCTTGAGGATCTCAAGAGGAAGATCTTGGTCACCATGAGGAGGGAATGGTGGCACTTTGCTTCGGCTATCGACTTCGGCTGGAATGAGTACATGCTTATGCTGGACTCGTTTGCTGAGTATGGGAGGAGGGTGAACTCTGCTGGAGACCCGATCATCGTGTGCTTCTTCAGACGTACGTCAGCTACGATGAAGGAAAGGAGGGAGGGAGGGAAGAGCACTCGAGCGACTGCCTGTGTGTGTGTGTTGTGCTGCCTGCAGCCCTCAAGTTCCCAATTGAGCCCAATTACTGGCCAAGAGAGAAGGGGCCACCAACCGACGACGCACACAGGTACCTAAGGTACCTACTCATGGGGTGCAGTGCACCGATTTCTCGCCGTTCTGCCTCTGCGTGGGTGTGCGTGTGTTCAGAGCTACCGAAGCCAGACTGCCGCGTGTGTGTGGGTGTGATGAGTCGCTCAAGGCTTCTGTGCGACCGAGGTGTGACGCTGTAGTCCGCGATATCCGTGTTTGTGTGAGGACCCCGCTCGACGACGGTGTAATGCGTCGTCGTGTCAAAATTGGCTCTACAAGGCTTGAAGAACTGCTCGGGTATGGGTGACCGCTCGCAGAAGACGGAGGCACAGACACACAGCGCGACGACGGAAACCAGTGCCCAGAGAGAGAGAGAGAGACTGGTGACGACACACAGCCACTTTCACTGAAGTGGTGTAGCGTCGACACACACGCCGCGGCTGTGTTGTCTGACCTTCATCAGATAGGTCTGTGCTAACGTTCATGATAGGCCTCCTTCGCCGTTTAGTGTGGGGAGGCAGGCAGGTAGTGAATATATTGCCTCTGTCTGTCCTCTTTTGCCTTGCTCGTCCTGCCGTCGAGGTGCGGCAGTGAGGAGGGGCGGGGCTACTTGCTGTGTGCGTATGTGTATGTGTTAAAGCTTTGACTGGTGACAGGTGTGGTGTGTATACAATACAGACATCATGTGACACGATATCATACAGTGTGTCACCCAGTCTTGAATGCACTCAATCACGGCACCCACCCGACGATGAGCCATCAGACACAGAAGAGTTCTAGGCAAGCAGAAGCGGGGTATGCTCAAGCAGCCGCCCCATCGATGGGCGGCTGCTTGACAATTCCACGTCCCTGCCCGACTAGACCCCTTGTGTCGTCTGCATGGTCTCGTGCACATCAATCCATCCATCCATCCGTCCGTCCGTCCTTCCAGGCTTGAACCACGCAACGCAGAGAGGTCACGAAGTCAGGTCTTTCCATCAGTCAGTTCTCGAGCTGCCTACCACGGTGGCTGTGCTGGTGCAGGTGAACCCACCGCTTCTGGCAGGTGCACCGTGCCAACATTGCACTGGGTGGACAAACCGAGAGAGAACCAATGGGTACATACCGATCACTGTCCCCTCCCGAACGCTCTGTGGAAGGCCTCGACAATGTTGGTTGGGTGGGTGGGCGGCACCACCTCTGTGTCGGGCTCAAGCTCCAGCACCAGCTCGTTCCTGACCGCCGAACATCCATCCAGCCATCCATCCATCCATCAGAGAGTGGGCGCGTTGCCACCTTTGTGTGTGTGGATGCGCACCTTCTGAAAGGTGCGAGCCATGCGTCGTTTGGGTACCAGGCCCTGCTGCACTTGCCCTCCAGATTGAAGCCCACCTTGACGTCCCACATCCGCAGCCAAAACCTACCCATCACACACACACACATTTGTATGAATGCATGTGTGCAGTGCATGTGTGTCTGGTTGGTTGGTTGCCTACAAGGGTTTTCCCTCTCGGTTGCGCTTCACTTTGAGCCCCCTCTTCTGCACCGCATAGAACAGGCCCCTCTTGATGGAATCCAGCGACCGGCTCTGACCACACACACACACACACACACACACATGCACAGATATACACGGGCACTGGTGTGTCGCCCATCCACGAGTCCCTCTCACTTGTGGGTCAGAGATGCCGAATGCCGCCGTGACTGCGAGTCTCCTCCTCGGCTGGATGGAATAACGCACCTTCTCGTCACGCAGGTAACGGCGCAAAGGCCGCACATTGACGTCTGAACACAACACGTACACACGGAGAGGATAACGGACGCAGGAGAGGCGTGTGTCGTGTCGGGTGGGTGTGATGCATGGCTACTTGCCTGGCGATGGCATTTGGTCGATGTCGGTGCCGAATGCCGATGGCAGGGGGACCACCCAGGTGACGCGCCTGGCGTCCTGCTGCAGGGGGGTCGACAGAGAGATGTTGGCCACGATCTCGGGCTCATCCTGCACCCATCACCCACCCACCCACACACACACGGGCATTGCATCGATCCATGTGCGTCAACAGGTGGATGGATGGTTCTCACCACGTTGTACTGGTACTCCTGGTCCTTCTTGATCTCGGTGATATACGACCTCCCCGGTGTCATAACCACACGCCACGGCCTGCACACACACACACACACACCAGACAGACAGAAAGCATCTCTCCCTCCCTCCCTCTCTCTCTGTGTACCCCACCTCTCCACTGTATAAGGCTCCAGCAGCACCTCTGCAGGCGCCACATTGACGAACGGCTCAGCGCGCAACCCTCGCTCCCACAACACATGGGTGAAGAAGGCCCGAGGCAGCGAATCGCACTGCCCCCCCTCCCGCCCCAGTGTCGGGTCAAGAAACTGCCCCTCCAGCACTGCCCGCGGCGGCACGTCGACGACGTCAAACACAAACCGCCTGTGGTGCACTCGGTGCGGCGGCATCTCTGATCTGGGGCCGCCTTTGGCGAGGGGGATGTGCCATGCCTCGAAGATGCGCGGCCAAATCTGCTCGTAGAAGGTGCGGAGGGGGGTGTAGGGCGAGGTGTCTTCGACACGAACGATGCGGCCGGTGTTTTTGTTGACGGTGACGTTGGATGAGACGTCGATGGCCACACGGGGGTTGGAGAGATACTGGCCCAGAAAGAATAGAGGCGACGTGCCGGAAAAGAGGTAGCTCAGCTGGATTGCCTGCTCGTCGCTGGCTGTGGTGGTCTCTGGCTCGAGTGTCTTGACCTCCAGGAGGGCCACGCGCGCGTCGCCCCAGTAGCTGCCGAGTTCCTTGAGCTTGCTGAACACGGCTGCGCGTGACGAGAGGGGGGATGGCAGGAACTGTGGGAAGGTCCATGACGCCGACTCGTCGAAGAGGTCATCGACGTATTGCGGCTCCCCGATCAGACCGAAGTTGACTGCATTCTCAAACTCCTTGGCCACACGCCATCCTGACACAAGAAAAGATGTGTGCAAGATGTGTGTGTGCCCGTCCCTCCATCCATCTCTCCAGCTGTCTGTCTGTCTGTCTGCCTGTCTTTTCCTACCTGTGCACTGCGTGTTGCGGTTGAGTGTGGGGTCTTCTCTGTGGTCATACCGCCAAGCCACCGGCGGCAGAGGGATCCGTATCAGCTTGTCGTTGAGCGGCAGGCCCTCGTTGGGGTCGCCCGATGGCGTCGTGACGAAGGGCACCTCGTCAGGGTCATAGTCCACCACCTCCGGCTCCGGCAGCTTCTCCTTCAGGATGTCCTCGAGCGACACCACCGTCCCGTTGATGTCAGGCAGGGTCACCAGCGACTTGGGCAGCTTGGCGCGGCTGATGGCCTGCTGCTGCTCGGTGGCCGGGCTCCCCATCTGCAGGCCAGTCCGCCGCCTCAGTGGCAGCCTGTGGGCCGCCCTGACCGGGTGAAAACCGACTCTCTGCTCCAGCAGCCGAAGGGCCGAGATGGCGAGAGGCCAGCAGGAGAGGACGAAGCAGATGAGAGATGTGTGGGTCATTGGCGTTGCAGCTGGCCTCCTCCCCCTTGCAGAGCATCCTGGAGCGCTCGCAGCGTCGGGAGCAGCATGAGCATCACCATGAGATGGAGATCTCGCCTCAGCGCTTCGACGCCTACACACAGCGGAGCCTCCCTCGTCGTGCTCCATCCTCAGATCCTCGCGGAAAGGAGGGCGCACGTGCGAGCTCAAAAAAGTAGATTGCCGAAAGGAGGAAAAGTGGCCTGGCGATTTGGCGAGAAGGGTGACGAGGAAGGACCACCACGGAGAGGCCGCACGGCCACAGCGTCGTTCCCTGTCGGCTGCTCGTGACACAAAGCCACTTCCTTCGGCTCAGGCGCGCCATCGTCGTTCTTCGCCTGCGATAGTGACTGTCTGTCGCTATCGGTGTGTGAGTGAGTCGAGTCGCTGACTTTATCCGCTTCCTCCCTCCCGTGTGGCTAGGGGAGGGGAGAGAGGCTCAGCACACCCGCACCAGCCATCCCATTATCATCATCGCTACTATGTCGACGTCCGGCGAGGGCGCCGTGTCGATGAACGAGTCGTCGAGCTCGTCGTCGTCGCAGCACGTGAGTGACGGGTTTGACGTGGAGGCGCAGGAGACCGACCCGTCGTTTGTGCCGTCGCTGGCCAAGGTGCTCACGCACCTGATATCGATGAGCCAGCCAAACACCGGACAGGTGAGATAGATGGGACCAATGGACGGGGGAGGGAGGGAGGGAGAGGTCGTCGGTAGGTGGCCACTTGATTGTCCTGTGTCTGTGCGTCTGGTGCCTGTGTGTGTGTAGGTCACTCGTTTTCACGCCATCAAGGCCCCTTCGATCAGCATACACGAGTACCTTACCAGGTGACTAATCCAGCCATACATCCTGCCAGGACACACAAGGCAGGGGCGATGGGTGGATGGGCTTCTTTCTTTGCTGTGTGTGTGCACAGGATCGCCAAGTACTTCGGTTGCAGTTGTGAGTGTTTCGTCTTGTCTCTGGTGTACATTGACCGGATCGTCAAGCTGCACCAGGACTTCTGCGTCAATGCCCTCAACATACACAGGTAGCCAGTCAGGACAACACACACACCACACACATCACATACACGATCCTTGCCCATCGCTCGTGTGTGTGTGTGAGTCAGGTTGTTGGTGACGAGCATCACCTTGGCAGTGAAGTTCTTCGATGATCAGTTCTACAGCAATGCCTACTATGCCAAAGTCGGCGGCGTCAAGACCAGGTGACACAGGCGATGGATGGATGGATGCACGAACCAATGGCCAGCTGAGCAGACAGACAGAGGGACATGAGTGTGTGTGGTGTGTGTGTCGTGTGTGTGGTCACAGGGAGATCAACGTGTTGGAGGCGCATTTTCTGGCGCTGATCAACTACCACCTGTTCGTCACGCCTCAGGAGTACGACCAGTATAGGAACAACGTGCTCATGGCGGTCAACGCAACGGTCCGCAACCACACACACACACACACTGTGCCTGGATACACTCTCATTCTCCGCCCATCTGTTCTCTCTCCCCGGCAGTCGGTGCCGCGTGCGATTTCCGACAGCGCAACGGCCGAGGGTGCTGAGGGTGAGGGCGATGCCGAGTCCATCCGTGGAGACGACGCATCACACGACCGCCATGAGCATGACCATGAGGAAGCGCATGAGAAGGATATTGCGGACCAAGATGGAGGGGAGGGAGAGGGGGAGGGGCAGGGTGAGGGGCAGGCCGTGGCCCCTAGCGCACATCCCCACCCACACACACAGCCATCGCACAGCAGCAGCGGCGGTGACAACAACACATACTACAACTCGGCAGAGGCGGCCGTTGCCATGGACACAGACATTCCCCACCACCCCAGCCACAGCCACAGCCACGCCCCCCCCCACCACCACGTTCCAGCCAGCCGCTCCCAGGTGCCCAACTACCCCTCCCACGCCCATCAGAACGGCACGAGCTACCCCAGCCACCCCTCGTCCGTCGAGACCAGTGCGAGCAGCGTCTACGGCCAGCAGGGCAGCTGCCAGGGGCCGCGGGCAGCCATGTCAGTGTCGGCCTGCGAGGCGTCGTGCAGGCCACAGGTGGGTGGGTCGGTGGGTGGGCAAAGGGAAATCCGACACGCGGCCGGCACACAGCGGAGAATGCATGTGACCATTCTCCGTTTTGCGTGTGTGTGTGTGTGTGTGTGTCCTACAGGTGGCACCATCTGACCCTCTCTGTCGCCGGAGGAGCGTGCCCCACGGCCATAGCGCCCCCGCAGCCCAGGAGCCCTCATCCCACATGAGTATGAACGGCCCCATGCCCGCCGCCGGCCAGACGCAGGCGGCCGTCGTCCAGATGCATGTCTGCTAGACAGACAGACGGGCCGATGGGTGGAATGGGGGGAGGGAGAGGGGGGAGGGTCGGTGAGGTATGGCTGCGTGCATCAGCCCGGCCAGCCAGCCGTCCACGGTATCCTCTGATCGTATTGGGTTCGATTTCTGTTCTCTCATCGCTCGTTCGTTCATCCATGTGTGTGAGTGCTGTGTGGTGTACTGGGTGGCGTGGCGGCGTGAGGCAACCGATCAGACTTGCCTCGTGTTTTTCGTGGGCGGCCGGACGGAGGGACGGAGGCGATGGATGGATGTCTTGCGTGCATACGTTCGTTCATTCTCTGTCTCTGTCTGCCGCCCGGATGCCCCGCTCCAGCCAGCTTTGCTTGCTGCTGAGGGATCTCTCTGTCTCTCGGGTCAAGTGATGTCATGTGATGATGTCATGGATGGATGGATGCATCCCTCTCTCTCTCTCTCTCTGTGTGTGTGTGTGTGTGGATGGCACGGTGACGTTTTGGAGGCCATGATGAGTACTCGAGAGTGCAGTCACCGACTGACCCGGAGGGAGGGAACGAGGGAGGGAACGAGGGGAGGGACCTCACCCGTCGCTTTGTGCTGTGTGTCCGTGCGTGTGTCTCTGCGTCTGCATGAGTGTCTGTCTGGTGGTGGTGGTGGTTTGGATGGATGGATGGATGGACCTGCCTGCCTGCCTGCCTGTGAGTCTGTCCGCCGGTTGGCTGCTCAGAAAACAAGAGGGAGGGCAGGGCAGCGGAGGGGAGGAGGGGGACGACACACGGATTCTGTCCGTCGTGTTGGTCGTGTATAGCCTCTAGGCTAGTTGTTACACACACACACACACACACACATGTTTTGCACATCCATCCATCCACCCACTGGTCGAGGTCTTTGCCTTTTTTCGTTTGCAAGCCGCCACCCACCGACCCACCGAGCTCTCCACTCTATGTGTGTGTCTGCGCAGTGAGCCGCCAGTGTGCGTGAATGAGTGTGAGAGTGAGAGGAGTGTGTGTGCACCTTTTCCTCTCCTGGCTTCGTTGCCTGCCTGCCTGCCTGCCGGGGTGATGGGAGTCTTCGTATTGACTAGTCGCCAAAAGGAGAGGATGGATGTCTGCGTGTGTCTTGTGCCTTTTGTCTGTGTGTGTGTCTGTCTTGACGCCTGTTTGCCTGCCCGTTGGTCGTCCGTCTCTATAGAATGGATCTGTATCTCTGTGTGTGTGTGTGTGTGTCAGTCACGTCAACCTCACTTGTATATTATGCTACCACGGTCGGCTTCCGTCCACTCTCTCTCCTTGCCTCTGGGGCGGCTGTGGCTGTGGTGGTGGTTGTGGTTGGAGTGGGTCAGGGGGGCGGCACACAGTGCTTGCGTGTTTGCCATGCAGGGGGGGATGGGAAACCCACCCCCTTGTCGCTGCGTGGAGACACTCACATGGACAGAGGGGAGACAGACAGACAGACAGACAGCAGTGAGTGCCGGTGCCTCTTTCTCCCCACACAAAGGAGGCCCACTACTTACCCACCCACAGCCCACACCCACTCGTAGAAGGAGAGATGGATGGATGGATGGATGGGTGGGTGGATGGACTTCTCTTGCTGCGGTTTAAAGGACGGTCGATATTCGTCTCGTATCGCCTCGTGTTGGTTGGTTGGTTGGCTGTGGTTTTACGTACCCTTGGATGACATGAGTCCACACATACATACCTGCACACACACACATACTTGTGCACGAGATCGATGGATGGGTGGGAAGATGATATTTGTGGAGGAAGGACCGACCGATGGATGCCTGGCATGGCATGGCATGGATATGTGTAAGCGGGTGGCGCACTCGTCTGCGTGCAGACCATGCAGACGAGCGCGTGTCGGTGGATGGATCGATGGATCGATCGTATGTTTCAATCAACCCATGGCCATGATCAATGTCAATCAGTGTGAGAGGGTGCGACTGAGAGAGAGAGAGAGAGAGATGTCCAAGAGAGCCTTTCAACTAACCTGAGCAGACAAGTCAGAGAGAGAGAGAGAGACCCACACTGACTGGCAGGGCAGGGAATCGAGAGACGACAGAGAGAACCCCCGCCCCGGCCCACCCCACACATAAGACACATATGTCTTCGTTCCCTTTTTGTGTACTCCTTACTGGTGGTGGTGGTGGTGCGTCCAGGCAGCCTGAGGCACCTGACTTGACAGACAGACAGTCAGACAGACAGATGTGCATCATTTTTTCGGACACTCGAATGTCCTTTTGTGCCTTCCCACGTCTGCCTGCCTAACTGCCTGACTGCCTGACGGCCTGCAGCCGGCCTGGTGAATGCCCGCAGACACAGACAGAGAGAAAGAGGAGAGAGAGAGAGCAAGGCAGTTTTGCTGGCTGCTGTGTTGTGTGTTTGTGTGTTGTGTCCTCTATGTAATGTCTATCATGTGTAGTGGTATACGGGCCGTCCATTCGTTCGTTCGTTCCTTCGTTCGTGGTGTGATGTGACGTGGTGTGATGTGATGCGGTGTGATGTGCATGGGGATTTTCCTGCCTCCTCCTTCTTCTGCTGCTGACTGCGTATCACTCACTCACTCACACACCCACTCAGTCACTCGCTCACCGTCTGTCTCTGTATCTGACAGACTGACTTGCCCACTACACTCTCGTGGATCTTCCCTATCCTTGTTTTGCCCTCATTGCCGGTGGTCTCCCTGCCTCCCTCTCTGCATCAGTGAGGCCGTCAGTTGCTGCCCATCCGCTCAGCCGTCCGTCCGTCCATCTCTCTCTTCATTGCCTTCTATTCTGCCCAGCCGCCCTGTGCCTCTCTGAGTGTGTTGTGGTTTCTCGGGGTGCAGCGTGGTGGGTCGTGTGTGTGTCGCCTCTCACCCAGATGTGACACTTACATCGTCCAGGGCGAAGTGACCGTAGGGATCTCAGCACTAACTGGTCAGCAGTCAGGTGTGACGAACAGCCGACTTGCCAAGTGAGACCAGGCAGGATTAGACAGACAGAAACAAAGCCCTTGAATGAATGGATGACTGATTGGGTCATGTGTCGGTGCTTCCTTACGCAACACACCATGGATGCTCTGCAATGAGCATGTGACGCTGCTCACTCTGCAGGGCGTCTGTGAGGGGTGGCGGAAGGAGGCACCGATCGACCCACTGACCGACGAACTGACAGACGAACTGAACAGACAGACAAACAGACAAGAAAGGGCACGAGTATGGGAGCAGTGGTGGGCTACGATTTGCTGGCTTGACCTGAGTGAGACATGCGCCGTGGTGCCTCTTTTTCGGATGGCCGTTTTGCTTGCTTGGCTGCTCGTTCGTGCGTGTGCGCGAGAGTGTGGCTGCCCACGTCGTCAGGTCAGTGTGTCTGGCAATTTTCTCTGTATTATGTCTGGCTGAATGGCTGGCTGGCTGGTCGATGGATGATCGGATGGATGGATGGATGAATCGACGTCGACGAACAGTTTTCACCGTTTTGCTCGCAATGGAATGGGATGCACGCACTGCCTCATGCCAGTGCCCCTGCGATCGACTGACTGACCGGATGTGCACACACACACAGACGCATTTATGTACCTGCCGTACGACCGTCTGTCTGTCCTCTCGCCGTCCACATCCACACGCCCACCGCCCTCCCCGCATCCACATACACCACACCACACCTGACCAGAGGGGCGTCACATCGTCGTCTTTTTTTTCTTTGCTGTGGCTTGATCTTTAGCCTTGACGCGAGAGAGAGGGGGAACGAGGGAGAGAGGTGCCACCATGTTGTGGGGTGTGGCCTCGGAGGTAGTGACGCATGGGACAAACCTGGCCAGAGGCAGGTAGTCTCTTGCGTAGCTACTTCCGGGCTCACACACTCACTCTCTCGTTGGCACACACATCACATCCAGCGATATCGTGGCGACACACGACAGAGGAGAGGGGAGGGAGGGGGGGCCATCTGCTCTTCCATCCATCCATCCATCCATCTGGCGCTGATGCACTCTCTCTCTCTCTCTGTTGGATGCCTTTCATACGTCAAGTGTAATGCTCTTCTCGGCTTGTGCTGGTGGTGGTGGTGCCTTCCCCCACCCCACGTCGATCGCACTGTGTCTACTGTGTCTGTCTCTGCCTATCCCCTTGCTGACCTGCTTTCTCTCTGCCTCTGCTGCTTGCCGTTCTTCGGCTGCAAACCAAATCGGTCGACATCGCTCCATCTCTCTGTTGATGGGGTCTGCCTGCCGGTTTGCGGCCAGTGGAGTGCACGAGAATTGGAGAGAGTTTGAGAGAGAACAGAGGGAGGGACGTATGTGTGTGTGTGGATGGATGTGTTGGCTGACCAGTGGGGTGAAATCTGTGTATCGCTGTCTGCGGATGGACCTGGTGCGTTGACTCGTTCCTGCGTTGTGTCGTCAGTGAATGGATTGTGTGTGTGTGTCCTTCCCGCGTCGCACTCAGCTGCGCACCACACACGTGGAAGAATTGCATTCGCACACACGCAGCATTGTCATGTCTACCACTCACCACACCCACAGCCGTGGCCGTTCCACGCCAGCCATTCTATGCAGCCAAACGACCTGTTCTACCTCACCTGTACGACAAAAACCTGTTGGTTGTCTCATCTATCTACCATGCAGCCCAACATGGTGGCCACAACCACACCCCACACACCATCACCACACAGCCAACCAGCCCGCTTAGAGTTTGTCTCGTCTCTCTCCGTCTAAGCGCAGCGCAGCACACCCGTGCAGTCAATCTGAGCATGGGTGTCACAAATACGGCCGCATCGCGTCCCTCTGCTGTCTGCCGCCGTGCCACTAACTAATTATGTGATCCGTCCGACCTGACAGCACCCTCACGGACCTGACTAAACCCTCATCTCGTCGACACGACTAGACAGAGTGCGATAGACAGACAGACAGACAGACACACAGACCGAAAGGACCCTGGAGAACCTTCCTAAATGCACTCGCACCCTCTGTCTCATGTCACACAACAAAATAATGTGTGAATAGATACTTCGGCCGGTGCTGAGACCCGACAAATCGAATCAGCCCTCCGGCTGCGCGCGAATGCTTTCAGCAGTGTCTGAAAGAATGAAAGAAGGGAGAGGTGGGCACACAAGGGAAGGGATACGTTGGTGACTGAATGAATGGCCTGCCTGCACCGTAGCGTGTGCACCTTTGTTCGCCTTGAGAGACGCCAAGGCATAGTCAGTGGCCATGTCGTTCAAGGCCGTCTCGTTGCGACCCAGCAGCTCGAACACAGTAGGAATCAGATACCGATGACGATCGACCTGCAGATCAGATGTATGTATACTCAGTGCTGATCAGCGGCTGCCTGCCCCACGGTGGTTGTGTACCCAGTCTCTTCCGGCAGGGATGTTGACACGATCGGGGCTGACGCACAGATACATCAGGTCATGCAGCACTTGCTGCAGTGCACACACACAACAACCAAAACAGGGAGGGGGACACACACACACACACACAGAGGCTCGTTCGGTGGGCGGATCGGTGAATGGTTGTTCTGGTCGGGCTCACAGACGTACAAAGAGGACAGGCTTGGGCATCTCGTCGATGTCCTCCTTCTTGATGTTTTCCATCCCAAATGCCACCGACAGCACATCCCAGTGCTTCCGCAGCACCCCCTCTCCAAACACCTCTCGAAGCCGCTGAACCTGCGGCAGCACCTTTCTCTCGGGTCCGTCAAGGGCCGCCGTCTCGGTGTAGCTCACAGAGGCCAGGCCGGCCTTCATGAGGCCCTCTGAGAAACACAGCTCGGTCTCATCCTTGGACCAATCCTTCTCGAGACGAGGAATATCGACCTGCATTGACAGGGAGGGGGTGTCTGTCTGTTGTCGTCTGTGGTCTGTCTTACGATTGTGGTGAATCCGTCCTTCTGGTTGTCGGCGTACACCTGGCCGAGCATGAGCAGCTTCCAGACGAACACAGACAGACACGTCGGCATCTTGGACGGTGAAAAAAGGGGGTTCTCATCATCATCATCGTCGTCTTCATCTCCACCAACCAACCAAGAGAACGACCACACACCATGCATTCTCACAAAAGAGCGAACGGCTCGCGTCACGTGCAGTGCATCAATCATACCTTGGCCAGCAACAGCGCTCATGCCCAGCACCTTGCCCGTGTTGCGGTCGACGGTGGGGCCGCCAGACATGCCGAAAGGGATGTAGGCGTCGTGCGGCAGCATCACGCCATTCTCGATGTGGCAAAGGGCACCTGATACATACACGTACGGGTGAGGGAAATTAAGTGGCATACCATTCCTAGACTGCCCCTCACCCTTGAGTGTGCCGCGAAGGGTAGCCGGCCCGTCGTAAGGGCTGTACGAGAGGCTGTCCTCGTTAGCTGGCAGCATGGAGCCTGTGTTGGCCAGGTAGCCCATCGCCACGATCTCGGTGCCCTCGATGGCCTCGTGTGAGGCGTCCCCCGCGACAAACGGCTCGGGGACAACGCCACCCAGCTTCTCACTCACATACTGCTTGTACGCCTGAAGTAAGATGATGGAAGGAGGAAAGAACTGCCTGCCTGCCTCATGTGTGGATCGTCGACTTACGTCGAGTGAGTATGGCTCTTGGAGTTTGATGAAGGCCACGTCCCACGTGGGGCACTTCATGACCACACGGCCCATTAGCTGCAGGGCACACACGCCCACCAAACCACAGCAAACCACATCAAACCACAGCATCAGTGGGGTGTGAGCGACGAGCTGTCATCCCTCTGCCCGTCCACATACTTACTGTGCTGTTGGTGACCGTCGACTGGAGTATCACATAATCTGTCATTCATGCACACAGCGCAGCCACGTACCTCATAGGTCTGATCCGCCGTTCTTTCTCCTCTCCCCCGTCTACCCTCCTGGCTGACCTGACCTGTATCAATGACTTTGTCGCTTCGCGTGACGAACAGCGGCTCATGAGGCCCGTCCAGCAAGAAGGTGGAGGCGAGAAGATGGGCTGCACACACACAAAGAGGGACAAGTGAAAGGACGCCACGCCACCCATCATCACTCCCCACCCACCAGATGTGTTCACTCACCTGCAGGGTCTCCGAGCAGCCCGGTCGGCGTCTCATATGGGTGTGCGGGAATCATCCGGAAGATGGACGCCTGCAGGGGCAGCGGCACGTCGTCCAGCCCCCTCGCGTACTTGCCCGTCAGCTCATCCACCATCGGCCCCGACCATTCCATGAATCTCATTTCATTCAATGACGTCCACCCAGGGGCCGCACGCCGCCCCCCTGCCAGTGTGTGGTGTGTGGAAGCAGCAGGCTCCGCGACAGCAGGTGGGACGAAGGACAGCGTGCGTCGCAGGCGATGAGTCGGGCGGTCGATTCCCGCCAGAGGTGAAGCGAGAGGCATCTTGAGGTGCCCATAAGGCTGCCAGGCTGAGGTAGGACGGCACGAGAGGCTAGCGGTAGATGCGATGAGGAGAAATCCGACGAATGACGACATATTTGCGAACGAAACGGGGTAGATCTGCTCCAGATCTTCGGCAGATGGACAGATCAACGACAGATCTTCCCTTCTTCGGGACAAGTCTGAGTGCGAGCTTGAAGCCAATCTCATGGTTTGCCTGGGGAGGCCCCTACTCCGCTGTCTTGTGTGAGAGGCTTGTCGCATCTGGATGTCCGCGCAGCCACGAGCGATGGGCCGCAGAGGACCATCAAGTTCAAGCTGAGGCTATCCGGTCAGCCACAGCACCTATCGATCTGCCGTGCGTGACGTGATTCGATTCAAACCAAGTATATTCAACACGTATGCATGCATGGCTCTGAACCTATGAACGATGAATACAGCCACTGCTTAGGTCGTGTGCGGCACCCTTGCATGCCTCCCAGTCACTCGGGCGGCTGCCTGTTTCTGAGAGCAACACATCTGTCTGTCTGTCTGTCTCTTCTCTGTTTCATTCATTTCGCTACATTTCGCCACATTCGCGAGTCGTCCTCCCTCCCTTACATCCGTAAGTGTCCTTCATTAATTCTCCACGAACGAACGCGAAAAACTACAGTGCATACCAAACATGTTCTTTCCTTTCTCATGCGACCGACGCAAAAAGTGGCGGCCCGCCAAAACATACGACCGACGTCCTGCTCATTGCATGTCGACTGACCTAGCCACCCACCTATATATGTGCTGGCTGGACTACACATCTACCACCCACCCAGCCACCCACCCATCCAGCCACCCACCACACGGTCTGACTGTCTATCTATCTCGAGCTCACGGCAGACTTGACCCGCATCCCAGGTCCGTCAGTCAGGTTCTTGCTCCTTCTTGTCTTCGTGCTCGAGGCGGTCGATGATATAGTCGACGACCCTCTGGGCGCCCTTGCCCCCCTCCTCGGTCAGCAAAATGTCGTCTTGCATGGTCCTGACAAACTTGTCTGTCGCTCGGTCGTAGTACCAGAAGCTCCATCTACCGCCGGCAACAGTCGCACACTGCTTGATGTCGTGCACGCGCATGAGCCACTTGAGGTCGGCCGTCACCTTCTTGCACCCGTCAGTGAAGTGGACAGCGGCAAACAGCGTCCCGTCGAGCTTGTAGTTCCTGACGGGCACACAGACACATACACACGTGAAGCCTCTCTGAGAAGGCGCGTTACTTGCTTACCCTTCGCTGTCGGTTATGAGGGCCGTATTGAGGCCATCCTTCTCGATGAGGTACAAGCCATACTCATCAGCGATTCCAGTTTCGAGATCGACGTCGCGTTTGTCATCTGGTCCGTCAGCACACCACACGACGACACGCCAGTCGGTCTGACGAACCAACTCGTGCATCTGCACCAACGAAGGAATGACGGTCAGCTGAGCACACTGTCTGTCTGCATCACGCGATCTGCCCACCTACCAAGGGGTGGACGTAGTACATAGAGTGAGTGGCTGTCCATTGCCGAAACCTCAATCTGCCCCTCGTGTCAGCCACACGCACCCCAACCGCACCACACACGACAGACAAACCAGTGTCAATCAATAGCCTAGGGAGTGCCCCTCTGTGTGTGTTACTTACTTGGATTGGATTCCCGATGCCCCCCTCGGGTGTGCGGCATCGCAAAAGAACTGACACAGATCGGCCGGCACCACCACCTTCGGCAGCGGCTTCTGGCGGTTCGCCATCACCGCCTGCGACTTCGTTGGCGGAAGTGCAGAAGACACTGAAGCCTCGACATGAGGAAGGTGTGGCGCCTGCTGAAACGAGGACATTCACGTGTACACACATGCACACGCACAAAACTGTGCATCCGTGGTCTATGAATCCGTCAGTTGCCATCAACGGCCGCACCTGGTTGTCTGAGTCCATCGAAGTGGCCTTCTGTTCACGCCTGATGGCAGATCTGACATGCCGATGATGCGGTCTGCCGCTGCTGATGGGCGGTGCTGCAGGGATGAAGGAAGAGGCTTGCACAGGACATTTCTGGAGCACACAGGCCAACCACACCAGTCCAGCACAAACATCACGAAGGGAGAGCATCCTGTTGCTTGCTTCTCCTTTTCATGCCACGGTCGAATATCCCCTCACTTGGACCGTTTCACACGCCGCCCTGAACCTCGAGCTCGCAAAACTTTCTTCCGCATTGCAATTGCTGGTCCATTGCAGAGCTCATTGCCTGCATTGCTTCAGGCAAGCTGGGGGAAAGAAAACGACACTCTTGCTGCCGTCATTTCGGTGACGCTCGTGTGTTTATCCCTCCGTGTGTATGCGCAGGAGTTGGCGGCGGCCCGCCATGCAGTCGGTAGACGTGCCGACGGATGTCCACAAGATTCTGGAGGAGCGAAAGTGCAGACACGCCATAAGACAAATCCTCTCAACTGAAGTGGAAAAGGTCATTGAAAGAAAGGGCCCACTCTGATGCACCTGGCATTCCTTTGTCGTTTCATGCCGTGTCTGTGTGCCTGTGCATTGCAGATGAAGAGTGAGCTGTTCGCCTCCCATCGTAAGCTGCGTCAGATGCGCGAGGAGCGCATAATCTTGGCTGACACCATCACGGGCGGCGGGCGGGTGTCCAAGAATAGCGACCTCTACAAACGCATCCGAGACGCAGTGGTGCACGGCACCATCCACAGGGCATTGGAAGTAAGCCAGACGATACATGAAAGAAAGAAGGGCATTTGGATGGATGGATGGATGGATGGATGGATGTGGGCATGCGTCGTTGTCGTTATCATTGGTGTGTTGTTTGTATGCAGCCTCGGTGGATCCGCGATAGCCTTCACCCGGTCAAGTTTGCGTGCCCGCCTTTCGATAGGTGCGCACAATGAAACGACACACAGGGACACCAAATGCATTGACGTGCCGTTGTTGTGTCAGTTGCTGCGGCGTGTTTTGGAAGGCCGATGCGGAGTCCTATGTCGCGACCAAGAACCGCATCATCCTGGGCGAGTACACCGGCCTGGTGTGCCCCAAACCATCCAACATGACCCTCATCGCACGCACCACCACCGAGACACTCATACCGACACACCTGGACGAACAAGAGGTGGTCAGTCCCTTATAATGATGCCAAAGCAATCTGATCCGCTTCCACCTTTTTTGTCTATCGGTGGTTTGTCAGGATGAGGGCGAGGTTGAGCTCGAGTGCGAGCCTGATGCCCGCTTCCCCGCCCCCGCCGACGAGTCCGTTGCAGACAAGGACAACGGCGACGACAATGCCAGCTCGGCGCTTGATCAGGAGTCCAGTATCGAGGAGTGGAGTGAGGGGGGCGCCAACACCGACCACAGGAAGCCGCGCTCTCAGATCGGCTCGGTGAGGGGAGGCGCGTCGGCGTCGGCGTCTGGGCGGGCGGCGAACGGGAAAAATGGCAGTGCCGATCCAGCTGTCGCTCTTCACGAGGCCGAGAGGCAGAGACAGGTATGCATGGATCATGCAGGTCATGCTTGTGGTCCCACCTGTCTGTCTGTCGGTCTGTCTGTCTGTCGTTCAGAGGAAGAACATGTATATTTTCAACCTTGACTTCCACCGGAAGGCCTACAAGGACGAGAGGAAACGGTCGCTCTACCCCACCACACACGGGTAAATGGCACGAACAACACGAGTGGGCTCGTTGAAGTACCTCTGTCTGTGTGTGTCTGGCGTTTTCGTTGGCCGCTTTAGTTCGTTGCCGCTCCGCAACATAGTTGTAGACGCATCGGAGCGCCTCAAGTGAGCACACAGCCCAGCAAAATGAAATCGGAAGACGACAGAGAGATGTTTGTGTGTGTGTGTGCCTGTGTATCTGCGCACAATTGTCAGCGAGATGGCGTTGGTCAACCACTTTTCGTGCATCCAGCTGGTGAGCCACCTGCCCAAGGCAAGGAACGCGAAGGCCAATGCAGAGTGGCACCAGGTTAGCCTTCAATGCGTTCACAGAACGACAGCCCACAGTCACACATCGAAAGCAAGCATCGATTGCTTGTTCGGTAGGTGTTGGTCGACGGCTGGCCCCACATCATTCTCACGACCGTTCCAGGCACACCGATCAACCCAAATGTGAGTGCGGCGTACGGGGACATGGCTGCATGGCTCTCTGGTTGGTGTGTACCCCTCTTCTTTGGTTTCCTAGGATGAGATCTTGGCTGACTTTGGCGGCGATTGGTTCAAGAACGTCATCAGGTACCACCGACATACACAGCAGCCATCCATCCACTCATGCATGCGCACCCCATATTCGTCTTTGTGTGAAGGCTGGCGAGCCAGTTTCTGTACCGCGAGCTGACATTCTACCGCAGCGTGGCGTTCAAGCAGTTCAATCGCGACTGGCTGAGGAGCCAGATCGACCACATCGCCGCAGAGGCCGCCGTCAAAGTCGAGTGAGTCAGCACACGTTCACACCCATGCCTGTTGTTATCCCTCTGTCTGTTCTGTCTCTTTCTGTGTGTGTGTGTGGTTGCGCTGCAGCGAGACGGACAAGGACATATGTTGTGAGATGGATGACCCTTGCGCCATCTGCCTCAATAGCAACGCAAACGGCCAGCGGGTAAGCAACCCACCACACAGAGGAAACAATTTTGTTCTCCCGTTCTCATGAGTCGTTTTATTTCACTGTGCATATACTTGTCAGAATTTGGCGGTCGTGTGCGACGGCTGCAATCGCTGCTATCACCTGAGGTGCTTGGGCGTCGATCCGCGGCAGCCAGTGCCAAAGGAGGAGTGGTTCTGCGACACGTGCTGCCTGCACGCCGAGTGAGTGAGCATAGCATAGCATAGCAACCAACACACGCATGGACGAATGCATTTTCTCCCATATGCAGGCGCGTGACGTCCACCTTGCTGCAGCTGAGGGATGACGCCCGTCTGCACTACATGAACGCCAAGCACATCGACCGGCTAGCCGCCATGCCCGAGCCGGAGGGCGTCCCGTCGCAGCAGGACGTCCGCAGGAGCACCCGCAGTTGGCAGGGCCTCTACTTCAACCACACCAACCACGACAGCAAGGACCTCGAGCCGCCCAGCCACTACAAAGCCGACCTGATGGCTGCCAAGGGACCTCTCAAGTACACACACAGAGAGAAGAGATGGCCCACAGCCCCCACTCCACCATCACGTGTACCTCTGTGTGTCTGTCAGTCGGAGGAACTTCATGTCGTCAAATCGGGCGTGTGTGCCGGGCCCCCCACCGTCCGACGGCGACCAGCCAGCAGCACCACCGACCCGCAACACTGGCGGCGACACATCGAGAAGCGAGGCTGACGGGGGGTCCTCATGCACATCGCCCGCCACTAGCGAGGCGCATGATTTCCTGCTGTCGATGTACAACATAACGTGCGGCGACAGCAGGATATTCCATTCCTTCGATGACCCCCTCACCAACAAACCCAGAGAATACCTGGTTACGCGCCATTGAGACATTGAGACACGACTCTATGCGTGTGTGGTGGATGCAGGGCATCGTAGAGTCGGGGGAGTTCACTCGCAAGGGCACTCTGGTGAATGTGTACTACCCTGAGGACGGCGAGCGACACACACACATTTTCGAAAAGGCACGTATACACGAATGGACACAAAGACACAGAGAGACACACATATGCGCAGCAACATGATTTCTGTGTGCTTTCTGGGTGCGTGTATGCGTGCAGGAGTTGTGTCTGGAGCTGGCGAAGCATCGGAGGAATCGCATTGGACGTGAGACCAGCGACAACTGAAACAACCACCCATTACACGTGTGTGTGTGCGTGCGTGCAGGCACCAGGAATTCCGTGTCATGGTGGAAGCCGTAAGCACCGCACACCACCCACGCCCATCTACTGGCCATCTTGACTAACAGATGTGTGTGTTCGTTCCCATGTATGTGTGCAGGCGTCGTGTGATGTGTGAGTGCCCTGGCTGCTTCAAGTGGATCGAGTCGCGCGACATGCACAAGGCCATCTTCTGCAGCAGATGCCCTGCTGCATTCCACAGGCAATGCTGCACCGGTACGCATACGCGAAATGCACTCCGCCCCTTCCACCCAACACACACCTCCCTCCCTCCCTCTCTCTCACTCCTGGATGTGTGCAGATGCGCCTGCCGCTGACGCCCCACCGTCCCAGTCATGGACATGCCCGTCATGCGCCAGGTCCGATCCACCCTGCCCTTCCCCCTGCCCCCCTCCCCCTCCCCCTCCCCAGCCACTCGTCCCCGCCAGCCCGTCGGTCGTTTGTGACGAGCCAGGCAGGCCACCCGACTCGCCAGCTGGCGCTATGCGTGGTGGTGGGCGCAACATGGAGGCCGCCAGGGGCGAGGGGCAGCCTGCTGCTGCTGCTGCTGCTGCTGCGGATAGCGATGGGGATAGGGAGGCAACCGCTGCAGCAGAAGACCTGGACGCGGTCGAGCTGCCGAGCGATATCGAGCTAGCCGGTGAGATGATACCCGCATGCGCATTTGATGCATGGAGACGGTGGGTGCGTTGTGTTCCCCCTCTCTGGGTGCAGCGTCATTCCTCCTGGGTCGTCCCGAGGTGTTGCCTCTGACGGCTGAGCAGGCCACCCGTCTGCCGCCCGCCACACAAGACGCCGCCCTGCCATATCTGCTCGAGTGGAGGGGCGCTGGCAAGGGATTTGTCGTGATCACTTTCCCCCACGGCGACACCTCCATCCGCAACCCCCCCAAGACCTCATTCCCCTCCCGTGGCCGTATCGGCAGCCTCGAGCAGCTGAGGGCGGCGTTTCGCGAGGCGGTGCACTTCCATAGGAGACACAATGACGAGTACATCCGGTGAGGGATCGCATATGAGAACCAGGCGGTGGTTTGTGTGCATTGAGCCAGTGTTGGAATGCAGCAAGCCCACGTTGCTGCCCGCAAAGTTGCGTGAGGACAGGGACAAGGACGAGGGCCACCGAATCATCACACAGCACGGTATATGGGACCAACCAGCCAGTGTATCTGACACACAAATCCTCACCCTTTGTGTTGGTGTTGTTCTTTCTGGCCTGCATATACAGCTTCCGAGCTGCTGCAGTCGTTTGCCGCGCCCACCAATGGCAGAGTCGCCCTCAAAAAAGACCCCAAATCAAGAAAACCAGAGTCAGCGATTGATCCTTCCACTCCCTTGCTCACCTCACAGATATGTCCGTATTCGATCTCTCGTCGGTTTGTGTGCCGTGCATGCAGGTTCCATGTGCGTGTGCCCGACGAGGTGGTCAATGTGATCGGCCCCCCCGCCAACTCACTCCCCAACCCCCTCATCGATCGCAAACGACAACGACCCTCAGTCGCACCACAGCCGGCCGCAACAGCCGACAAGGACAACAAGCCCACCAGCAGCAGACGGGACGAGAGGACATTCAAATTCGACATGCCCGAGCGGCACCCCACCCCGGCAGACGTGCAGGACATGTCTCGGCGATGCGAGCGGTACTGCGAGGCGGTCGAGTCCGCTCGTGGGCGTCTCGAGGCCATTGCGGCGCAGCGTGAGTGGGAGAGGAGACGGCAGGAGGCCAGAGAGAGGGGCGAGAGCCCGGGGCGGCCTGTGCGGATGGGCGGTGAGGAGGGATCTGATGTGGAAGAAGGGGAGGAGGAGAGCGAAGAGGAGGAAGACCGGGGATTCGACAATGACAGGCTGCAGCCGGTCGCCAAGGCTCGACGGACCGAGCAGCCACCAACTGCTTTGCAGCAGACTGCAGCCGTGGCCATAGCATGACAGACTGACGTATCCAAGGCTTCTTTTGTCCCCTCTCTCTCTCTCTCTCTGTATCGCATTGGCTGGGAATTGTTGGGCCGCTAATGCGGTCCTGTAGAGATGCTTGTCGCCTTTGCGACTGCTGCTGTATAGCATCTATGTATAGCGGGGGGAAAAGGGAAACAGGTTGACGCATCCATGTGTGTGGATGAATTCGTGATGGCTCTGGCCCTTGGCAGACTCTGCCAAGGTCCGATGATCCGTGTTTCGTGTGCAAACCGAGCAATTGACCATCTATACCAACGTCTCCAAGATTGTCCACATGCCATCATGCATCCATACAGGCAGACGCTCACACACGCTCACAGCCATTCATTCCCACAGAAAGTGTCGTGTCCCTCACTTCTTGCCTCTTCCTCCTCCATTCAAGAAAGCTAGCATGCTCGACTGCCCTGCGATGTGCTTCTCCCTCCCCTTGATGCCACCCCCAACCCCAATACCCGCACCACCCCTGCCCTTCGCCTTGCCGTGCTGCCCCTTGCCCCCAATATCCTTGATCACCGCCTTGCCCCCAACCACCTTGCCCCGCCCCTTCTTGCTCCCCTCCGGCGTGTCATCATCTATGACGATCTCCACTCGCTCCGGCTGCGGGACTGGGCGAGACGCAGCAGCACCATCAGCACCAGCACCATCACCAGCATTGCCATCTGCTGGGGTGACCGGCACCTGTCTGTGCGGCTTCGGCTGGGCATCTTGTGGGGCAGGGGCAGCTGCCTTTGGGGCTTTGGGCATCACAGGTGGGCGGGGAGGGTGCTGTCCCGGTGGCTGTGGCTGTGGGTCGGCAGCTGCTGCAGCAGCAGCGCCCGGGGCGTGTGGCTCCGGCTCGCCCACCTCATCCCGACGGCCATTGACTAGCGTCTCACCAGCCGGGCCCGTCGGCAGGATGGGGCGCTCTACGGGAACGATGCGGGGAGGGGCGGGTCTGAGAGGCGGGCGAGCGGGGGCTGGCCTGTCGTCCATGTTGGACTGTTGCCGGCTGAGTGGGAAGACCTTCCCCGCTCCCGGCACCCTCCGATCGTCCTTGGCCTACGTCCAACCATCCCTCCATCCATCCAGACAAGATTTCCAGGCAGGTCCTTCACGTGCGGTTTTGTTTCCTTCTCACCTTTTTCTTCGGCGGCCGCAGGATCGCATCGCCAAAAATATCCTCCTCCTCCTCCTCCCCGACCCCACCATCGTCACCGTCAGCAGGCCGCTTCTGTTGGCCCGACGCGTCGGAAGCCGCAGCGGCAGCGGCAGCGGCACCAGCATCCGTCGCCGCCTTGAGCTTCTGCCTTGCTTCACGCAGCAACTTCTTGAGCCGCTTGTTCTCGTTGATGGCCGCCCCCTCCTTCGTCTGCGCCCTCTCTACCTCTCTGCAAAGCAAAAAGGCGAAGGGAAATGCGAAAAGGGGGTGGCGGCTTGACATGTGGTCTGACTTTTCTAGCCTTTCCGCTCGTTCGTTGGCCGTCTGCTGCGCCTGGCCGGCTTCGTCGCGCTCTCTCTCTACCCGCTTCACTTTGCTGAAGAGACCAATCAACAGACGCACAAAGGTGGCTGGAGTGATATACGGTCATGAGAAGTTGGCCGACCATCTGTTGTCCTGCACAAGCGACATGACAACGAGACACGTGCGGCGTGTGTTGGCATGGGACTCTCCTTTGCTATGTGACCTTTTCTTTGGTCATGAGGCCCCTGAGCAAGGCCTGTAGGTCACCCTGATGGCCAGACACACGCAGTAAAGAGCCGCAGTGGAGCACGCACCGAGTGTGTCATTGTCGTACTCACATTGTACTGCTTGACAGCGGCATAGTACTGCTGCTCATTGGTACTGGTCTCGTATCTGAGAGAGGAGGACAACACAAGACATACAGGGCACGGGGCCGTTGAAGTTCCTCTGGGTCACATACACACGTACATTTCGGCCCGCTTGGCCCTGTCCTTCCATTCGATGAGCTCGGTCTCCGCCTCGAGAAGCCTGGTCGTGGCGTGAGCCTTCTCCCCATAGAGCTCCCGGCTGCAGCCCAAGACATCAAGAAGCCAACAGACAGGTGTCACGTGCCTGGGATGACCGGGAGGATGTCGTTGTCGTGCCTACTTCTGGTCGACGAGTTTTTGTTTATCCTTCTGCAAATTACTCAGCAGCTTCTGAGAAACACATACGCACAAACCAACACGCCAAAGTGTACTCACGCGGAAGTTCCAAGAGTGGATTTGTCCCTTGCGTGTTCTCACCTCCCGGCTGTGGAGCTTCTGTGCGGCGGCCTCCACTTCCTTCTGTGCCGCCGCCTTCTCCTTCCCCAACGCCCCCACTCGCTTTTGCAGCCGCTCGTTCTCAGCCTACACCCACACACCGAAGGCACACCGCAGCGCACCAGATGCTTAATAAGGCGGCTGCCCCTGAATCCGCCATCCATCGCAGTCTCTCACCTCAAGTTCCTCTATGCGTTCGTCGTCCTCCTCGCCACTGCTATCCCCGCCCTTTGCAGCCGGCTGCGCCGACTCTGCCGGGGCCGCACGAGGCTTGCGACGCTTCATGTCTGCACATCCACACACCCATCCACACACAACACACAGATGTTCATCCGGCGAGGTGAAAGTGGTCTGAGATGATGAATGATACACTTGGTTCATTCATTCTCCCGTGTGTGCGCACCGTATTCGATGTGTACTCTGAAGGGCTGCAGCGGTTTGCGGCAGCCGGGGCACGTCGGGTGCTGCCGCTGCGACTCCCAGTTGTGCAAACTGCCATATCCAACGTTCCCACGGCGATGAAGACAGAAAGAACATGTATGGACGCATTTCATTCCAATGAAAGACAGGCGTACCAGTTGCGATGAAAGACATGCCCACACTCGGGATTCGCCGCATACTGCAGAGAGAGAGAGAGATGGAGCGAAGAGGTGGCACTGCAATGAGGGCGGCGGCTGCATCGACTGGTTGCCCACTTACCGGCGGGTTGTCATCGTCGCCAAGGAGTGCCTCGTAGCAGATGGTGCACCGTGCCTTGGCCATCGTCAACGATTAATGCTACTTTGGAATGAAATCGAGCGGAGGGGGATAGGGTGTACAGCGGTTTCACGCTCGCTTGGCTTGGCGTTGCGGTGCCATATATCGTTTCGCGGTGCGAGTCACTGATGTGTGCGTCTACACGACTCATAAACTGTAGCACCGCAATATGCACCGCAACGAAAAAGACTCAGCAGGCGACGGACCTGCCTCCCCTTTCTACGCCCCCTTCTTGCCCGTACTGAGCTCCACACACTGGGACGCCCCGGGGTAGGCCGGCAGCTCTAGCCTGTACTTGCGCTGAATGCTCGACGGCACAAACCGACCACCCAGATAGTGACGACCATAGAAATGCTCTGCACCTGAGACAGAAGGAAAGTAACACCGTCAACCCTCCCACTGATGAGTGCTTCAGGTGCCGTGCCTACATTTCTTGGGGGCGGTGAGTGAGACGAGCACATCAGGGATGACTGCGTCGCCATTCCCCTGCGGCCCCTTCTCGACGTCCCACCCGCTCGGCGCATCCACCGCCACAATGGTGGGCTTCTTGGGCTGCCCGGAGGACGTCTGGATGCGCCTCAGCTCGCCCAAGATAGCGTCGTAGGGCGGGCGGACAGCTCCACTGAAAGAGAAGCCGAAGAGTGCGTCGATGATGACGTCAGCACTTGCGAGGGAGGAGGGGAGAGACTCCTGCCAGTGACACACACACACGCACACACGCACACACGCACACAGAGTGACGTTCGGTCAACGCAGCTCTCTTTACTGTCGTATGTCGCACCTCCACTGGTATGTTTGATTCTTTGAGCTGTGTGACGAGCGAGCTGTACCACTCCTTCTTGCCCACCTTGGGGTATACCACCGTGACGTCGTGGCCGAAATGGAACAGGTGGCGCGCAGCGACCAGCCCATCGCCTCCGTTGTTGCCAGGTCCGCAGAGCACCACGATCTGCATGGACGACTGCTGGCTGAGATCTTGCACTGCCTGCGCCACCGACAGCCCCGCCAGCTCCATGAGCTGCTCCAGGCAGAAGCCGCACGGACCCATCAGCTCATCGTCGAGCGCTGCCGACTCGCTCTGACCCAAGTACTGCACACCACCCTCATCGTGAGCAACACACCCGAGCGTCATCGATTCATGAGATAGGCATTGTGTTGTGTTGTGCATTGTCGTTTGTACCCTGACGTCAGCCATGGTGCTTGTGCGCGGAGATGAGAGGGGCGCAGTGTACGAAATGTGCCGCAGAAGGCCCGTCAGGCGGCTCGTTATGTGGAATGCTCGCGTGGTCAGAAAGGGGAGGCTCCAAAGACACAAAGTGGCGCGCATCAGTGATCTTTATGGCCTGCACTCATTCTGCTGCGTAAAAAGGCACTCCACCTCCCGTTGCGAGCTCGAGCTCGCACAGGTCGGGTGAATCAACCGACTTCAAAGCTCCCCTGAGGCGCAGGTGGTGCCACTGATACTGCTCTGATCCAGATCTTTGGTCTCGAGGCTCATTGGTTCATCGTAGTATGATGAGCGGGCTTCACACAGCGTATCCTTTCCCCTTCAAGAAGCGCGACGACGTGGACCGCTCGGCAGCACAGGCCATGCGCAATGAGTGCAGGAATGGTGGCTTCAGCGGCAGCACATCTGGACGAGCGCCCGGCTTCGTCCAAGCCAACTTGGTCATCTTGCCGAAGGAGTTTGCTCTGGAGTTCGCCACTTTCTGCCTTCGCAACTCCCGCGCATGCCCTCTGCTGTGAGCACAAGACACACAAAAAGGCCAGACGAACACGAACGTCGTGCAATGGATAATTGATTTTGTCTGTGTTACACGTGCAGTGATGTGACGGAAGTTGGTTCGCCTGAACCATCCATGGTTGCGCCAGGGGCGGACTTGCGGACTGATCTGCCCAAGTACCGCATCTGGTAAGCCGACATGCAGGCCAGCAGCAGGGACCAGTCTTGCGGAGGCTCATCAGATGTGTGCTGGCGCTGCGTGTGTGTGTTCAGGATAAATGGGAAACTGGAAGCGGAGGTCACAGACATTACAGACGTCTGGCGGGTCGGCCGTCGGCTCACTCATAAAAGCACACGCAGCACTGCGCATGACAGCCTATCCGTGTGTCTGCCCGTATTTTGTGAATGACAGAATGACTTCGTGGGGTTTGTACTGGGGTGCTCCTTCAGCTTTGAAGCGGCCCTGGCGCGAGAGGGACTGGAGCCCAGGAACGTGACCATGAAGGTAACATGCAGACAGGCCAGGGTAGTGAGTAGGTGCTTGTCCACCGTGTGGTCTGTTGTTGTCTCTTGTGCAGTCAAATGTGTCCATGTATCGCACCACACACCCAAACATCAAATCGGGCCCTTTCGAAGGTAACCATCACTATTGCTGCAATGGCAGCGATTGATCTATCAGTGTTGCGTGGTTTTCCGGTCCTGCAGGCAATCTGGTGGTGTCGATGCGCCCGTACCCGCCCTCCTCCCTGCCTGATGTCATCCGCATCACTTCATCCTTCCCTGGAGCACACGGCGGCCCCATCTATAAAGGGAAGACGGACGCGACTCCCCATTGCTCTTTTTTGGGAATAGGTAATCTGGGTCTGCCTGACTTCGGTGACCCTGTGCCGATTGGTGAAGGTGAAATCCCTGTGTTCTGGGCGTGTGGCGTGACGCCACAGGTCAGGTGGATGGAGGGGCGATGGCACGTGAAGGGCGAGTGGATGAGTTTGTTTGTTTGGTTGTGCTTGTGTGCGTGTACGCGTGTAGGTGGCCATTGAGACAGCGGCGCCTGCCCCGCCCATCGCCATCACCCATGCGCCGGGGCATATGTTTGTGACGGACCTTGTCGATGATGAGATGAGAGTAGGACAGCCTCCTGGCTGAAGTCATGTAGTCCGTGGCTTTTGGCTGGTCCAAAGCAGGTCGATGTATGTGACATTGGTCTTTTTTCTACACACCATGGCACCACGCGACTGTCCGCACTCATTCGTCAAGTGCACACACAAGACACTGCGTTAAATGTGTGCAAAGGACACGGAAGTACATGGGAATGCAGATCGATAAACCATAGGACGTCCAAAGCTCATCAATTGAGCTCACCTATCGAGGACGTATCATCGGGAAAGTACCACCCCATCGGTAGAGACTGCACTTGTGTGCGGAACAAGTCTCTACCACAGAACAAGTCTACTACCACCCAGGCACACACACTCAGACAGAATCCATACCACAAGTCTGTCCCCATATAAACACTCCCCATACACATCTACCAGACGTGCATTCGTCATGCATACAAGACGGCCACGATAAACGCAAGTGTCTCCAGAAGCAGGAGCGACTTGCCGCCGACCCACCGGCTCATGGAAAGTCCGCCACTCATGGTCATCTTCCGTAAGACTCTGTAAGGATTGGCTTTCCTTACAGATGCGTTCTGGAGTCACTCACTGTCCCGGCCATGCTGTGAATGAATAAGCGTTTCGTGGCTTATCTGTCAGGCAGCATCGCGAAGACCTTTGAGCCCCATTCGGGACTCGCGAAGCTTGCTGAGCGTGGCACGCTCTTACGAAACAATTCCTCCGTCCGTAATTGGGGCCCAAGCTAGCACTTCCTTCGGTTCTCGAGGGGGGCTTGCATTCGCGAAAGGCGGCGAAAGCATAGCGAGTCCCGCCAGCCCGACGGAGGAGGGAAATTTCATAACTAGCGTAGATCAATCCCCTCCCAAACTTGCCCCCGCATGGATCGCCCGATCGCCTCTCTTGGGGCCCCTTTCTCTCAGTTCCCTCCCCTTTTCCTCCTCCTCTTCTCTTCCCTCCTCCCCCTTGTCATGGCATCGTCTACGGTTGAGATGTTCTGCGGGAGGATGGGTGAAAGAACTCACAACCTCCTCATGGACAAGTGGGGCCTCAGTGACAAGGAAATCGAGGTGGATGGCACTCACAAATGTGTGCAAGAAGGTGTGTCGCTCTGTGTGTCATCCTTCATCATCTTCAGGACCTTTGTTACATGCTTCCTGAGGCACCGGAACTCGGCAGCATGAGGTACTTGCGAACAGACCGATGGCTGTAATTGCGCGACAGTGTATGGTTTGTCGCAGCTTGTGCAGCAACGGGTTTGGTTCGAGGGCCGTGATTGCCCTCTCGGAGGTCCTCCCTGTCAAGGCGCCTCACCTGCACACACTGATCCTCTCATACAACGACATACACAAGTAGCCAGGCCATGTGTCGTTTCATCGATTTTATGTGTTGTCCGCATCTTTCGCAGGAATGGGTGCGTTGCTCTGCGTGACATGCTGATGGGCAGGTTTGAGCTGAGAAGTCTCTCTCTCGATCACAACCAGATCGGCGATGAAGGTCAGCGTACAGCGACGCAGAAGAGAGAACAACACCGGGTCCCTCGTGTCACATTCTGGCACATGCATGTTTCATGCAGGCCTGGCCTATCTGTCGGAAGCCTTCACCCACACACCCCACCTGCACTCGCTGGACCTGCGCAGCAATGGCCTCACAGACAGCTCGTCCCACCTTCTGGCTGCCCGTCTCCCATACTGTGTCTCGCTTACAAAGTGCCGCCTTGACGACAACATGCTGTCGCCGGCAGGCGTGCAGAGACTTGTAGAGGCCAAAAAGCGGTGCGTGAGCTTAACCACCCTCAGCATCGACAGACAGAGAGAGCGGAGCATTTCTCGCGCCCACGAGACGGCGAGACTGGCCAGGGGATATCTCAAGAAGCTGTACATGAATGTGGTGCCTGTACTGCTGGCGTGCTAGAGATAGATAGAGACAGAGGCATGGTGGGAATGAAGAGTGAGTGGACGGGCAAGAAAGAGAAAAGGCAAAAAAAAGACCGAAGAGGGGAAGAGGGAAAGACAGTGCAGATGGAACGAACACGGAATGACCATGGGGTCCCGCATTCTCACGCTATCACGCTACGCCCCGAAGATGGGCAGTGGCTCCTTCCGTCTCGCATGGCCTGCTCCCTGCCTTGGCACAGCGACGACAGCGTGAGGCTCCCGAGGGATCAGCCGATCCCACGACGACTCGTCTTGATGCACAGCACCAGTTGGGCCAGAGGATTCACGCACAAGTGGGGCCAGCCACGCCAGAGATGCACTCAGCCAGTTGTCCGTAGACTGCCTTCTTGGCTGGATGTCGTGTGCTCTTCGAGCCGGTCTTGGGAGCGTCTCTTTCATCTGGTCGGTCATGATGTCTCCGTTACGTTGTGCTCTGTGCCGGATGAGAGCCCGCTCTACCCAGTGATGCCACTGGTGGAAAGGGATGGACCGCCGTTGGGCCTCTTCATACAGAGGTCTGGCGTCGACCGTGCACAGATCTTCCATGAATGGCGAGCTGAGCTTGCAGGCAAGGACCTGTGGCAGGCATGTCCGGGGGAGAGGGTGTTTGCCGAAGAACGGTGCACATTATTGACAGGTCTCACCGTCAGACGGAAGTATTCCTCTTTGTGGTCCTTGTGTCGCGGAGGCGGCGGGCCAACATCTGATTGCACCTCGGTCTCTCTTACGGAGGCACGACCATTCTCCGCTGGCCCTTCCTTGATGCCCTGCAGGTCAAGAGGCGGGACGGGGTGTGCTTCAGCCTCGGCCACCTCTGCATGTTGGGACAAGACCTGGCTTGATGACCTGAGCGCTTTCTCTTCTCTCACCTAGCTGCATCGACTCGTGAAGCTCATCACGGATGGACGAAAACTGCAAGCAGAGGGGTTGAGAAGCGAAGTGTTGTCAGAAAGAGCCGTGCCGCCTTCACTTACGCGTCTCTTTCTGTTGACAATATCTTCTGGGGACCCCGCCTCCGTCTCCTCATCATCACTCTCCTGGACCGGCTCCTGCTGCTGTGCTTGCATGGCGGCGATGGCTTGCTCGTATTCAGCCTTGTCGCGCTTGCTCTTCCTCAATGTGAAGTCGAGCACTGTCTGCAGGTCATGCAGCCGCCTTTGTTCGTCCACGAGCTCCTGCTGACATGACGCCAACTCGGTTTCAAGCTGGGGAGACGGGAGGAGGACAACAGGGATGTGACTATGTTGCTGTAGCGAGTGTCTCTGTGGCTGCACCTTAATGCATTGCTGTCTCCAGTGGTCGCATTTCTTTCGCCATTTGTCGGCCTCTCTCTCGCGAGTCTCTGCTAGCTCAGCCTTCTCTTGTAGTGCTGCAGGGCACCAACCACATACACACTCGGTAGACAAGGACGCCCTGGGTGATAGATATCGTGTCTCACTGGAGATTTGCGCCTCCTGCCGTCGCGTCTTCTGCGTGGCTCTCGCGAGCGCGCCTGCGGAGATATGTGCCTGCTGTTGAGCAAAGAATGTCTCGTCATATGTGCTTCGTACCCTTCAGCGAAGCAACTTCGGCTGCAAGGTTGGCAACCTCGCCTCGGAGGGCATCATCACTCTCCTGTAAATGACAGATTGTCGCATCCATGCGGCATGGGCATGGGGGGGGGGGATGCTATTTCCTTGTGTCTCTGTATCGGCTCCATACTTGCTCTTGTCTTTTCCTGTCACTGCCCGCCTCCGACGAACGACGGGACGCTGACGCGCGAAGAACCTGCAGCTCTGCCGTCAGCTCGCCCACCTGCAGCCACCAATCATGGCGGTGAAGGGTCCTTATCTGAACAGCTGGCTGCATACCTGTGTTTCGGCCTCTGCTAGGGAACTTCTAAGTAGACCGATGCGACGCTCGTGAGAGCCCCTGTCCTGTGGATGTGCAGCAAGCAAGTCATATGGCGTGGTAGGCATGGTGCCGCGTCTCATCTGTCTGCCCCACCTCTACGAGTGTTCTGAGCTCTTCATTTTGCTTCTCCGCCAGCTCCCTCTCGCGGCGTTGCTCCTCCATCCTCTCGTAAAGGATACCACACTGGATGAAAACCACACACCAAGACGCATGAGAATTGGGGGTTTGTCCAGCTCCTTCGCACACCAGTTCGGCCGCCAATCGGCAGTCATCCCTTCGGAATCCCAGCCTGTCGTCGCCCCCGTCGTGTACTTCATGTGCACAGTATTTGTTGCGAAGGTCCCCCACGAGCACTGCCAGCTCACTGAGGGGCATCTCATGGCTCAGGAGGCCGTGGTCCGTTGTCGCATCATGATAGCTGCTCGCCTTCCTCGGCCGCTCGTCTGCGTGGTCTTCATATACGGTGAGGTCGGACGTAGACGCAGCCCAGAGGGATGGGTAGCCTTTCGTCACAGACATCTCAAGGAATGGAGGGAGGGGAGAGAATTGGCGTCCAGAAGTCGAGATTTTCGCGTCATCGGATTTGCGGCCTCCCTAGCAAGCTGAGACGAGTCCCGAACGAATGAGACATGATCCTTGAACAGGCTTACACACTGAGAGGCGCACCAAACTTCTTTCACTCGATTGTGTAGGTCGGTTTTGCGTATTCGCATGCACACACGCAGGCCTCACTCATTGTTGTCAATTACCCCTCCTCCCACACGTCTTCCCACCCACCCACCCAATCACTCACTCTCCCCCCTCCCCTGTACACCTACGTGTGAGTCGGAGAACAGCAAATACACAAGGCAGGCAGGCAGGCAGGCGGACGAGCATACAGGAGGAGAAAATTGAGCCTGGCTGACGGCGCCTCCAGTTTGTTTGGCGTAAGCAGCTGGCTCTCTCTTGCTTTTTGCTTCTTGCGTGTGTGTTTGTGTGTGTCTTGGTGTGTCTTGGTGTGTGTCTTTCCTTTCTTACTAAGACCGAAAAACCACATAAATCCAACTGACTGACATACGGACAAGAATGCAATGCAATCAATGGAGTCATGAACATACAAACGTATATGGTATGGATGGATGGATGGGCGAGCTGTGTGCATACACACACACACACGGGAACACTGGCACACTGGCACACAGGCAGCAAGGTTGGTTAGGTTAGGTTAGATAACGATACGTAATCACCCCTCCCCCCTCCCTGTCCCTCTCCCCTGTACACAGACAAACAGGCAGACGACAGGTGGAGAGACGAAGAGAGAGACAGATACACACAAAACGGTACACAATTCTTTCCCCCCACTCCCTCCCACCCCTTATTCCTTATCCACCACACATCGACTGACTCATCGACTCCCTCGCTCATTCATTCAGCCTCCGCCTTTCCTCCCCTTCCACCCCGACCACCTGCCCGTCCACAGAGCGCTGTTCGGCCGCCTCTCCCGCGGCACCACACTCGCCTTCTTGACGGCAGACGCTATCACGTTGATGGCGATCGACGGCGAACTCAGCAGCTCCAAACGCGGGTCGCTGTCACGACAGTGGACGCCTTCTTCCCTGCTGCTGCTGTGGTGCGTGTGTGACGTGGTGGCCGTGGTGGTGCCGTCCTCGGTGTGTGGGGGCGAGCAAGGCGGCCGCGGGAGGTGGGTGTGGGTGTGGGCGAGGGAGGGGGGTTGGCCGACGAAGCTCAGCATGCTGTCAGTGTTGGCGGCGATGGCAACATCGCCTCTGCACGGAGAGGTCTGCTCGTGTAGGAAGGGCAGCACATGGCGGGGCGTCTTGCCGCCTCCCCCCATCGTGAACGGCCGGCTGCCATGTGGTGTCCGGCTGTTCGGTGTGCGGCCGGCCGTGTTGGTGGCGTCGGACGCGTGTGATTGTGACGCAGTCGAGGTTCTGGGCGTGGTGCCGAGCGGGGTGTGGCCGTCTTCGACGTAGCCCGCCACGGCGTCGCACGCGTGGCGCACCGGGCTCTCCATGCACATGGGCCGGTCCTCTGCGTCTCCCTCAGGGTGCGCGAGAGGCGGCAGCTGCAGCTGGTCCATTGTCGCTCCACCGCCACCAAGCCCGCCACCACCAGTGCCATTGCTGGTGCTGCCACAGGGGCTGAGTCCTTCGAAGGTCACCGGGCTGAAGTTGAAGTCGGCTTCGCTGTCGTTGCTGTCGCACTGCATCATCTCCATGGCGTCGGGATCCTCGACGATGCGCGAGAGGGTGTCCATGACGCTGTGCACGGCAGGGGTGGCAAGGCCGGTCGTGTCGCGCATGGCCGCCGAGTTTGGCGTCACTGCGGGGCGGTAACTGTTGCTGGCAGGGGGGATGGCCCCGTGCTGCTGCAGCACGTCGAGGAAGCTGCTCAGCTGCATCTCGTGTATCTTGGCGGACGTGTGTGGCGACTGCAGCCGGGCGGAGTGGGGGGTGTTGGCCTCCATTATCAAGGCCGTGGCGGGGCTGAAGACTGGCCGACAGGGGTGGAAGTGGTCATCGAGCGGTATCCGGCGGCTCATCAGCAGCTCTTCCCTCAACATGCGGTCACACGCCTCCTGAACACACACACACGCGCAAGAGGTGAAATGAACAGTGAATGGCCGCCTATCTCTGCGTCAACGTTGTGTAACGGTCGGTTCGCGAGAGCGGTGCCACCTGACTCACCTGCAGCAGGCAGTCGCTGGGCAGCTCACAGGTGAGGTTGGGAGGGAGCGCCTGTGGCTGTGGATCAGGCAGCTGCGGCCGGGGGTGGTGCTGAGGGGGAACCGTGCCAGGCGGTGGTGCTTGTGACGACATCGACGACCCCTGCAACATCGGCACGCGCAACGACACCTCCCCGGCACCTGAGATGGCAAGCAGAGAGGCGAGATGGGCCTCCCCCTCATATGCAGCAACCATCATGATGGCAGTTAACTGACTGCACCTGTCGGCTCACCTTGAGTGTTTTCTCGCTCCTCCTGTTTTTTCAGCAGAACAGATGGCTGTCCCCACACTCTGTCCATCCTCGCATGCCGCGAAAGGGGGAATTCAGCGTGGGTGCGCGCTCAGCTTGACCTCCATGTGTTTCACGGCAACGCTCTAACAAGTAAGGCGCCCAGGGAGGAGGCGCTGCGGAGAAACTGAGCTGTGTCCGAGAGCTCTGCTTTGCGGCTCGTGTATATAGCGATGTTCGGCGGCTTCGGCCTTCGGCAGCTGCTATACTGGGAGAATCGGCTGACGAGGCGGCTCCCCAGGGAGAGGGGGAGAGGCAGGGGCGATGAAAGCAGCGATGGCAGCGATGCCGACGAGACGCCCAGCGAGAGGGGCAGAGGGAGAGGGACAGCAGGGCCACAAAGCAATAGTGTGCCACCTTCTTCTTCTGGTCGGCAGGGGATGCGGCTCGATGAACTCAGTGCGGACATCATTGTGTACATCCTCGGGTGGGTCAGCAGGCCTGCTCAGAAGCCGCTGTGCATCTGTGCTCAGGTGGGTAACAAAACAGACAGACAGACAGACAGGAGGACATCTGACGTCAGATGGTTCCCCGGTGTGTCCGTCTGTCTGGTCAGGTGTGTCATCGATTGCACGGCGTGAGCGTGAATGAGGAGCTGTGGAGCGGCATATTCAGAGAGCGGTTCGCGCGACACCTCTCGCCCTCAGCCACCGTCCGCTATCTCTCGCCAGACCCTCTGGTGCTGCCGCGCAGACGGCCTCTGCGAAAGAGAGATAGACACGACAGGCGCAAAGACACGGGAGACCAGCAGCAGCAGGACGACCACAAGGCGCCCCGGTTGCTGCTGCCGATCCCCCAGCGAGAGAGCTCTGCGTGTGGCCCTCCGGCCCCGCGGACACGGACGATGTCGTCTGATGCGTCCACGCCGTGTGAGGGGGTGCGCAGGCGGGCGGGCATGCCCTGCACGACTTCATGGAGAGGCAAGTTCGCCGCCAAGCACACTCTGGAAAGGTAAAAAACGGGGGCTGGGGCTGGGGAGAGAGGCGCTGGTTGCTTTTTTGCATGATAGACTCCAAGGCGACATGTGCGGGCACTGTGTGTGTAGGAAGTGGAGTAGAGGTGTGTACGACCACAAGATCAAGGGCTCAATGGACGCCAAGGTCAGTCAGTCGCCCACACACCTACGCACCCACAGGCCTTCCTTCTTCTACACCCCATGTGTCTGTCTGCAGGCGTCGGTGTTGGACGTGTCCTTTGCCATGTCTGGCGCGCTCATCCTGGCGGCCTGCCGCGACGGCAGCCTCTACCTCATGTGCCCACACAGCGGCGAGCGGGTCAAGAGACTCACCCCACCCACCACTGACCCATCGACCCACCCGTCCGCCACGTGCTGTGCGCACATGCTGCCCACGGTGCCGACCACACGGATGCTGGACCGGCTGCTCGAGAATGGGGAGGCCGATCATGAGGAGGTGCAGGTGATGGAGTGGGACGCCCCACCTCTGGTCTTCGCAGGTACCTGCGCAAAGGCAGGCAGACACACAGACGGGCGTCTGTTGTTGTGTCCACTTGTGTCCATGTGTGTCTTCCTTGGTTGGTTTAGGATTTTCTGACGGTCGGTGCATCGTGTGGGACCTGTCGCGGCCATCATCGGCCAACACCAGCGACAACCAGATAGTGCGGACACTCAACTGCCACCCCAGGGGTGTGTCGGCGCTCGCACTGGTGCCCTCCAACCCCATGGCCACCCGCTCCCACGCCCACGCCCACGGCACACACATCGACGGCAAGCTACTGAGTGGCGGGGCCGATGGATCCTGCTGCCTGTGGAGCGTGGGAGAGGCAGCCGATGGGCCGCTGCAACGCTTCCACGGCCACACGGCATCTGTGGAAGCCGTCGCGCCTGCACGGGATGGCAACGGTGTCTTCTTCACTGCATCGAAGGTCGGTCAGTCGGTTGATTGGGAGGGAAATGATGTGTGTTGGCATGGATGCGTTCAGGACCGGCTTGTGCGGATGTATGACTGGCGAGTGGGCGGCACAAGGCCCGTGTGCGAGTTCCCCAAGCACAAGGACTGGGTCCTCTGCGTCGAGGCGCATCCCACATCCCCACACCTACTCAGAAGTGAGCACATGAGTGAGTGTGGGCGGAATGGATGGATGGATGGATGGAGACCGATACATATCATCTTTATCTTTGCCTTTGTTGTCTGTCTGTGTCTGCGTCAACAGGCACCGACAAGCAGGTGCATCTGTGGGATGTCCGGCGGCCTTTGCAGCGTCTGCCGCTGGGCCCCCACGACCCCCTCCACAGGCACCGGCAGCTCATCACGGGCATCAGATCCGACGCATTTCGTTGTGTGTCGGTCTCCTTCGACGGGGCCGTCAAGCTCTCATCACAGGTGTGCGTGTCTGAAGGCAACTAACGGGAATTTCTCTCTTAATGAATGAATGTGTGGGGCGGTGTGGCTTGGTTTATGTGTGTGTTGTGGTCAGGAGGATCGGAGCTGGCGCGGGGGTCATGGTGATGATGGGGGCGAGGTGGTGTCGCTCACTGTGTGCTCCGACTGGGTCATGAGCGTCGACTTCGACGAGACGCAGCTCGTCACAGGTGCGGGCAGTAGTAGAGGGCAGCCTGGATGGATGGATCGATGGATCGATGGACCCACGCACCAATCGCCATCCATATGTGTGTGTGTGTTTGTGTGCGTGTGCAGGCACTGTTGACGGGAGAGTTGAGATATTCACATTTACCTGACTGGCTGGCTGGGGCGTAGGTATGGGCGGAGGGGTGTCAACAGAGATGCAGTGTAATATGACGCAATGTACTGTAGTGTAGTGTAGCAAAGGGAAGGGCTGGCTGGCCTGCCAGCCTTCTCACAAGGGTCGAGTCGATCTTAACACACACACACACACACACATACACACACACACATACACACGCATGAATTAAGGGCGGGTGCTTTGGGTGGGTGTCATTGGCTGTCGAGCGGGGGATTGACGGCCTGTACCAAGTGAGTGTGCTGTGAAGGGGTGGAGAACGCTCCCCCTTGCCCCTACAGCCTCTCTTCGTCTTGTTCCATGTGCGCGTGTGAGTGGTGGACGGTGTTTGTGGTGAGCAGCAGCTGCTTGCCGTACGATGGCGCTTGCAAATGGCGCGAAACGCGTAGACAGAGGGGGGAATTCAATGTCTTTCACGGTTTTTGTGTGCGCGGCGGTGTGGCGGGATGGCCGTCCCTTGATCATCACCATGTGGCAACGAGATGCGGCGCAGCATCCGACTGCCACTTGAGGGTGCACGAGAGACGGCCGGATCGCTGCACATGCCATCGACTAACCTGCACACGAGTGGCTGGGATGACTGTGCGAGTGCGCGCGTGTGGACAGGCAAGCCGGCTGTGTGGCGGGATTGCCATTCCTGGACGTTCTTCAGCGGCAGCAAGATGCGGCCCAGCATCGTGCTGCCACTAGAGTACGCGTAGGAATGGTGGGACCGCCGGACACACAATTCCCGGCTTGCGAGCGGCTTGTTGACGGAGGAGCATGGGCGTGTCCCGTCCCTTTTTGCCACTCACTATCCTGCCGGTCAGCTGACCAAATGTCTTGAGAGTGAGAGGAAGGGAGAGAGAGAGAGAGATAGAGAGAGAGAGAGAGAGGGAGGATGCTGTATGGGTGTACTGTATGGGTGTTGGTGGGAGGGTGGTTGTCTGGCCATGTAGTAAGAACGCCCTTGCTGTCAGTGACGCTAGAGGGTTAAAATGTCACTCACTGAAAAAGACGGCACGAAACGCACAGAAAAACACACAACGCGTTCGTTCATCCGTTCGTTCCACTACTGCAACCCGCTAACACGCACCAGCCGCTGTACAATACACCCACACACTCTACCCACCTCTAGAAAGTGCCCCAGCCCAAACACACACACATGAGGAGAGACTATCTTCCCATGCACTCCATCCACACCGCCATCTGCCCACTTCGTTCATCTGGCAACAGCAGCGGCAGCCGGTGCCCCAGCTGCCGTCTCGTTGCGTGGCCGCGAGGGTGCCGCCCTCCCTGGGATGGCCGGCCACTGGTCCGGCGCGTCGAAGAGCTTGCCCGTGATGCGCCGGGTGTCGCGCAGGACCTCGCGCCAGGACGGCCTCTCTTGGTCGATGATCTTCTCTACGTAGGGGTTGACCATCATGCTGCAAGGAGAGACATCAGACACACACGCGGTGGGTGCGTGTGTGGTGTGTGTGTGGGAATGTGTGATGGTCATGTACCCACCCGTCTGGGTCCACTTTGTCCCTCAGCTGACACCACTCGCGGAACTTGGGGTACTTGTGGTACAGATCCTGATGAATGGATGGATGGATGGATGGACGCATCGGCCAAATCCATGGTGTGCAAGGGAACCCCACCGCCCCCACACCGACCTTGTAAGTGAGCTTGTGTTCCTTGGCCCAGTGGGGGCGGCCGCCCAGCGAATCCATGATCTCCTCAAAACCCTGATGGGATGATCCGCGAATCCATCCATGCATGCAGCGGGATCCCCCTCTCTGTCTGTCTGTCTGTCTGTCCCTCTGTCTGTCTGTCTTCATGACGTGCAGTAGCACCTGGAAGTACTCGCGCCAGAAGGGGGGCGGCTCGGCGTTCCACGGCCTGGTATGTGGCAGGCAGGCAACCACACACACACGTGTCATCTCACACACGGACACTTCTGTGTGAGTCGCTCGCTCCCTCCCTCCCTCCCTCCCCCCCTCCTTCTCCCCTGTCTGGCTGACCCACCATCTCACCGACCTGTACATGATGACGCCGATCCAGCACGTGTCTTGTCCACTGCAGGGGCTGAGCCAGATGTCGTCAGCGCGGGAGAACCGCACCTCCACAGGGAAGTGCACGCCCCACTCAGGCCGGCTCTCGATGAACTTCTTCAGACGCCGGACAGCCTCGGCGCAGTTGCCGCGGGGAATCGACCACTCGTCGACGTATTGCCTGCAGAAAGCCATCGAGCCAGTGAGACACCGCACAGAGAGAGAGAGAGAGAGAGGGAAGTTCCCTACCTGAAAAGGCAGTCGAAGTTGAAGACTTTGTCTGATCGGTCGACCACGTCAGACACCTGGTTGAAGGCCACCGCACGACACACCTGACATCGCCACACACGTGCACACGCACACACGCGCGCGTGTCTGGATGCTATTTCCTCTCTCCCTCTCCCTCCCTCTCTCTCTCTCTCTGTGTGTGTGTGTGTTGTGTTGTGTTGGTATACCTGGTTGACGAACTGTGCAGACGGCGGGAAGAATCTCGTGAGCCACAGCACCGTCTCCAGCACATAGTTGAAAATCAGGAACTGGTTCGCCACCCAATCGCCCTCCGACTTGTTCGGCGTCTGCACCCCACACCCACAAACACGCGCAAGAGACCACCTTAACGTTGCTTCCATCCATCCATCGGCTCACATACGTAAATAGGAACTCGATTGGCCTTCCACTCGATGCACATGTCGGTGTGGGGGAACCACCAGAAGCGGTAGTGCTCCGCCGTCCCCACTCGCTCGTCGATGTTGCTGAGGACGTCCTCCAGAGGCACAGGCCGCTGGGAGGATCTCAGCTTGAAGGCGGGCTCGCACTTGATGGTCATCTCGGACACCACCCCCAGCGCCCCCACGTGGCACAGGGCCGCCTTGAAGATGTCGGCGTTCTGCGTCGCAGAACACTCAATCACCTCGCCCCTACACCCACATGCACACACAGACCAACCTCCCCATTGCCGCACTCTCTCTCTCTGCGTGTGCCCATGGTCGCTGACCGAGGGGTGATCAGCTCCAGCGCCTCGATGTAATCAGACATGCACGGGAACTTCCCGCCGGTGCCGTGTATGGCGCACGCCAGAGCGCCACCCATGCTCTGCTCGCTGATGGAACTCAGCACGGAAAGGCCCAGGTTGTGCTCAGCCAGGAACTCGTTCAGCTGTGCGAGCGTCACACCCGCCTGCACGCGAACAGTGCCCCTGCCAGACAGACAGACAGCAGTGAGGGAGGGAGAGGCGTTGGTGAGGTGCGTGTGTGGTGCATGTGAGTGGGTACTTCTGTTCGTCGACGGAGATGATTTTGTTGTAGTTGTCGGTGGAGAGCATCCGCTGCTGGCACACAGCCATCGTGTTGGGGGAGCACCCAGTGCCCACCACCTTCAGCTGAGCCATCACACACAGACAGGCACACACACAGAGAGAGAGAGAATGAGACCGTGCCTTGTGTGTGTGTAATCTCTTTCAGCTCATCACCTTCTGGCCCTTCTCTCTGGCGTCTTTGAGTATCGCCAGGATGTCGTCTCTGGTCTCGGGCAGGTCGAAGTACTCGGGCGTGACACGCAGCGAGTTGTGCCAGTTGGTCCAGGTCTTGATCTGAGGATTCCACCCCCAGCCCCAACGAAGCGCCTGTGATGTGACACACACACAACACGCGCGCACACACGCAAGACTGTGTCTGTCTTCCATCGATTGACGCGAATCTGTCCTTCTTTCTGCCTTTCTCACTCGCGCACCTGTCTGCTCCATCCCTCCCTGCTGGCATCTGCTGCACGCAGACCCGCAGCTCCCGTTGTCGGTGTCGATGAGGCCGGACGCACTTGCTGCCGCGGCAAAGGCGCTGCGAGGTGCACACGATGAGGGCTGATGAAGGCCGCATTGGCGCGTGCCCGCCTCAGGATGCTTGGCGCGCCGCCGCGCACAAAGGAAGCTGTGGAGAGGATGGTCATGACCAGAAGTGAGATGTGTCGCTTCATGCTTGGAGGAACAGGACACGCCGGGGCAGGAATGACGGTGAAGACAGCATTCGCAAACAAAGCGGCGGGAAGGGAAGGATCGCTTTGGAGTGTGTTAAACGGGCCAGGCGTCAGCAGCCTTCTCTTCACGCACACGCGTCTGCACGTCCATCATGTCAGGATTGCCAGCTTGGTAAGACGAACCACTGCGAGCTTGTGAACTAGGGTAGATTGCTGTGTAACGGAGAGAGAGAGGAGAAGACAAGGAAAGACAAGGAAAGCATTCTGAGGAGACACGATCTTATCAGCCATCACCGAAGTGAGATCTGTGTTGACCACCCTTCATGATGCCATACATGGAC